CTAAAGGCAAACAAGACGGGTTTATGATTTAAAACAAGAGTCCCTCAATGTGTCCTGACAGTGCAGTCAAGTCAAAGAAGCCAAATGCAAAATTAAATACATAAGTAATTAAGTACATAAGTAATTTAAAAAAAAAGCTATCTTACTGTCTGTATGTCCATAACGTTTTGGTTCAATATAAAGAATATAGGGGATGGGGGTCTAACTTTTATTTTGAAATGTAAACTCCGTTTCCTGTTCTCTAATGCACCGGAAAACCAAAGCGCTGTGACTGTCGTCTGAAAACCTGCTGTGTAATCTCGTCTTTACAGTCACTAACCGAGTTTATTTCGAAGCAAGAAAGCAGTCATGCCTGATTATTTAGGAACCGAGCAACGCAAAGTTAAAGAAGAGGAAAAAGAGGACAAACCAATTCGAGGTAATATTTGCGATTACTTTCGGTTGGAATTTAAATGAAACGAATTAGCAGACAAGTTAGCATTTGTTGACTAGCCGCACAACGGTTTCACGTTGTCAACAAAAGCCGAATCATCTAAGCTAAATCTATTTTAATGTTATGCTATTGTAATTATTCCACCTATTTGCTGGCAAGTTCATGATATGAGTTGTCAAATGTCTCGGTACTAGTTAAATCTGTTTGTGTTGCCTTGAACATACTTTTTTACAGAATAATAAACACGTTAATTGACTATCCTGACTGATTTGGATAATTTAGTAATCTATCATCATGTGGCATATGCATGTCTCATTTATTGATCTTGATCTGTTTTATTTCTCAGCTTTGGATGAAGGAGATATTGCACTCTTGAAAACCTATGTAAGTATTCCTACTACAGAATAATGCCTGATTTGGCATTCATACTTCATTTAATATATTTTGTGTGTGTGTGTGTGTGTGTGAATAGGGCCAAAGCACGTATTCCAGACAGATTAAACAAGTAGAAGATGATATTCAACAGCTTCTGAAGAAAATAAATGAGCTCACTGGTAAGTGCACTGTCATCGTGGTGTGGGGAACTAGTTTTGTGGATCACTACGTACGTAGTAAAACAAATGCATTGATACTGTGTTATGTGTGTCTTAACAGGTATTAAAGAGTCTGATACAGGTCTGGCTCCTCCAGCACTATGGGATCTGGCTGCAGACAAACAGACTCTACAGAGTGAACAGCCTCTGCAAGTGGCCAGGTATGAGAGGAGGACAAAGACATGTAGGGTTAATAAGGGTTAACCTCAGATTTATTGGAAAAATAATAGATTATGTGCTTCGAATACACTACCAATCTTTCTTTTTTTTTTATAAATATTTTTATTCTGCAAAGATGCATTAAATTGATCAAGAGTGACAGTAAAGACACATACAATGTTACAAAAGATTTCCATTTCAAATAAATGCTGTTTTTCTGAACTTTCTATTTGTCAAAGAATCCTGAAACAAAAGTATTACATTTCTACAAAAATGTTAAGTAGCACAACTGTTTTCAATATTATTAATAAGAAATGTTTCTTGAGCACCAAATCAGCATATTAGGAATTTCTTGAAGGATCATGTGACAATGATGCTGAAATTTAGAATGGGAGTTTATGTAATAAAGTGGTTGAATGATATGATACTAATCTGCATATTTTTTTATTTGTTCATAGATGCACAAAGATAATCAATGCTGACTCGGAGGATCCAAAGTATATCATTAATGTGAAACAGTTTGCCAAGTTTGTGGTGGACCTGAGCGATCAGGTCGCTCCAACTGACATTGAAGAAGGAATGAGGGTTGGGTAAGCAGGAAATGATGGATACATTCATTTCTGTATGTTAGAGAGTAGCATCTGATCTAAAGGAGTATTGTGTATCTATTAACAGTGTTGACAGGAACAAGTATCAGATCCATATTCCACTGCCACCAAAAATCGATCCTACGGTCACAATGATGCAGGTACGAAACAGCTCAGGTTGCTTAGTATCATGTACATCATCAAGGCAATACTGTAGGAATAATGATGTACTGTTCATAAACAGGTGGAGGAGAAGCCTGATGTGACCTACAGTGATGTTGGGGGCTGCAAAGAGCAGATCGAGAAGCTCAGAGAAGTTGTTGAGACCCCTCTGCTCCATGTGAGTCATAAGTGCATCCAAATGTACCTGTTAAACATAAACAAAGGTATTATATGTCTGTAGATGTTTAAGATACTACATATTTTCTATAATCAACCTCCATCTATTTAATTCCAGCCTGAGCGCTTTGTGAACCTGGGTATTGAGCCTCCAAAGGGTGTGTTGCTGTTCGGCCCCCCCGGTACGGGGAAAACCCTGTGTGCCCGAGCTGTGGCTAACCGCACTGATGCCTGCTTCATAAGAGTCATCGGATCCGAGCTTGTTCAGAAGTATGTTGGAGAGGTAAGTGCTTTTTCTATTCAGAAGAAAGCTGTGAATTAAATTGTTTTTTGTTTTTTTTGTAATTAGGTGCTAGTAAGATCTATATAATACCATGCTTTTGTGTCTAACCCAGGGTGCCAGGATGGTCCGTGAACTGTTTGAGATGGCAAGGACTAAGAAAGCCTGTCTGATCTTCTTTGATGAAATTGACGCCATTGGAGGTAAGAATTTCCTATTTGCAATAATCTGATACTACAGTCAAGATCGGATAATTTCAGCTTTCTTTGGGGGTCTATAATCTAGACCGGACTATAATATTAGAAGTTTAATTATATTTAAAAGGTAGTCCACCCAAAAAAATTAAATGCTATCATCAAACAATTTCAGTTCCCATTGACCTCCGTTATATATATTTTTTTGTTCATACAATGAATATCAATGGGAATCGGAATTGTCTGGCTACCAACAATCTTCAAAATATCTTATTCTATGTTTCACAGAATAAAATCATACAAGAAGATATTTTGAAGAACGTTGGTAGCCAAACAGTTTTAGTTTTTATTGTCCATACAATGGAAGTCAAATGAAACCAAACTCTTTGGTTACCAACTTTCTACAAAATCTTATTTTGCGTTCAGCAGAAGAAAGAAATGCATACGGGTTTGGAACAATATGAGGGTGAATAAATGACAGAATCTTCATTTTTGGGTTGACTATCCATTTAACATCTCAGTCACAACAGCTTTTGTATGATCTCAGTGAAGTCTCACTTACCATGCTTACGCTGCCCTCTTATAGGTGCCCGTTTTGATGATGGAGCCGGAGGAGATAATGAAGTCCAGAGAACTATGCTGGAGCTGATTAATCAGCTGGACGGATTCGATCCCAGAGGAAACATTAAAGTCCTGATGGCCACCAACCGACCAGACACCCTGGATCCTGCTCTGATGAGACCCGGCCGTCTGGACAGAAAGATTGAGTTCAGCCTGCCTGACTTGGAAGTGAGTGTTAGCTACAATAGTGACAATTTACTAAAAATAGACAGGTATCATATAACATCATTCTGAACTGATAGATATGTAAATGTATGTAATGCTCTGTTTCTAGGGACGTACTCACATCTTCAAGATTCATGCCCGTTCTATGAGTGTGGAAAGAGATATCCGCTTCGAGCTTCTTGCACGTCTCTGTCCTAACAGCACAGGTGAGTTCTTACTGACAAACATTGCAATTAGCACACAATTTAAAGAGGCTATATTTGCATAGGCTTAAACTGACGCATATGTGGAGGCTTTCAACAATGTTGTTGCTGCAAGCTGTAGTTAACATAGGACATTGTTCCCTCAGGTGCTGAGATTCGCAGTGTGTGTACAGAGGCAGGGATGTTCGCCATCAGAGCTCGTAGAAAAATTGCCACAGAGAAAGACTTTCTGGAGGCTGTGAACAAGGTCATCAAATCCTACGCCAAGTTCAGCGCCACCCCTCGCTATATGACTTATAACTAAAAGTTTTCTTATGTGCTTTATCCCCACTTAAATGTTTTCTGCCTGATAATTCAAGGATTCTCATGTGTCTTGGCACCTTTCTGTGATTATCACTAAAAAAAATAAAAACATTATCCATACTACATGTCGTCTATTTATATATTATATATATTAAATGTTTAATTTTTTTCCACTTCTTTGGGATAGTTATGCCTGTAATAAGTTAGTAACTATACAAACTAGAGGGCATGTTTGAGGAAAAAACATTTAATTTAGAGTCATGATTTGAATTTATTATACAAAAATACCTTAAATCCACAAAAGCATAAAAAGACAATGCACTACATTATATGCAGTTGCAACTGATTGTTGAACTTTTTGGTCTTCATTACTGTAATTGAACAGCATCTAAATATTAGTACATAATATTAGTAATTGTGTGCGTGCTCTTGCTGTGAACCAAAAGGTGCTCTGAGTGAACATTTCATGGGCAATATCTGTGTCAAACATGTCAGAGAAAGTCTCAGCCTGTGGGCTTTCCATGTAAATGTCCTAAAGACAAGAACACCTGAAATTAAAGACTTCATGGAATCAGCTTTTTCAATAATCATCAACTAAGACCCCTTTATGTTAATAATGTTCTATGTAGCCACAAAAATAAATTGCAGTAGGTCCCAAGTAACTGGCGCGACCTGGATAAATCTTTAGACAAAAGTGTCTTGATTGAATGGAGATCAGGTTTTAAATATGTAACATATTAAGCCTTTTTTTTCCTGAATACTACAGACAGATGAGGAAAAGAAAGTAAAAAAAAATGAAATGCTGTGAAAAGAAAATAATTTGTAGTAAAAAAACAGCAAGCACATGGCGTACAACTGTAAAACAAAATTTCTATCCTAAATATAAGCTTACTGGAATGTCAATAGACGAGTGCCAAAAAATAAACACGTCAAGAATCCATCTACCCTAATTGCACTTAAAGGAACTCAAAGTACAGAGTGTTTTATTATAGTCATTCGTAACAAGTTGTGTTAGAGCTTAAGATCAAGGCTAGTGCAACAAAAGAGCACCAATGATATTAAGCCCAATATTTGCAGGTATATTCACATTAAATAAAGCGTTTACACTGAAAACATTTTGGCCAGCCTTCTTTTGTTATCGTGTCATCCATCCTAAAGTGACCCTATTAAAGTAACAGTACTTGTGCTCGTTCCAACAAAGTTGAAATGTCAGTTTGGTTTGTGTGTTCAATGGATGTCAGGACAGATGGGGAGGTCCTTCCTGTGTTTACAGTGCAAGACTGCGTCATGAATAGTAGGGAAAAGGAGGTCAGAGGTCACAGGCTCACAGAAGAATTGTAGTGTCCTGAGATCAGAGAGAAGGATCCCTGCACAACACAAACATATAAAAGGTCTTGTAAGGATCTTAGGAAAGAATCATTCATTACATCATTGTTAACCTACATTTCAGTTTGGCTTGGCCATACGACCGTTAATTAGTTCCAACTCTAGGTGGAGATGTTTACCACATTCAACAAATATATCAGAATGAACTTTAACCTACATAAAGACATTTAACGTTCATCATAAATTTGTTGAACTTCAATTATATTATATACATTTTTAAATGTTTATAAATGTAATTACTAGTTGCTGCATAGGGTATGTACTCTGATAGAGTTTAAAAAAAACATTGTTATATTATAGAAATGTATATCTATATGTAAAAATAAAATTAATTTCTTACTGCTACATCCAGCAAGTACTACTTTCACGTCAACTGTTGCATACTCCTTGATCACCTGTAGAACAAAGAAGAACTATTGCAAAATGTAGAACTACAAATGACAATATTTCTGTAGTAGATTTCTGCAATGTTGTGGGTGGTTGACAAGGTGTTGTGAAACAGCTGCTAAGGTGTTCAGTTTGTTTAGCACAATAGATATCTGGTATTTGCTCATTTTATCATCCCTGGGGTGAATATGATAAATTGGATCACCTGGGAAAGTAACAGCACACCTTTTCTCAATAAGCCATGTCATATCTGTACCACAAACAATGATGGAAAAGTACTGTCAATTTAATATTAAGGCCTGGCTTCACAGTTAGGGCTTAGATTACATTAGGACTTGGCCTCAGTTCAATTAGGATATTTAAGTAGCTTTTATAAACATGCCTTAGAAAAAAACATTACTGATGTGCATCTTGAGACAAAACCATGGCATTGACATTTTAAGATATGTCAGTGCAAGTTGTTTTCAGTTGATTGTAATGACCAAGTGATGTAATAATAAATGGCAAGCTGGTCAGCACTTAACAGCACGGCATGTGGTCTAACGTATTAAGCCAGATCTCACCGTTCTGTCTTCACAGAGGTATGTGTCATCTTTGAGAATAAAAGCTATCAACTTACTGATTTAATAGTTTTGGCTCCTACAGAGTCAATAAAGTTAACAGGAGTAAAGTCCAGTATGATGGAGTGAATGGGGGTTAGACGCTGCAGAAAGAAGTCGTCCTCAGATTCAGACTCAGTGTGGTTCTCAGTCGTCTGGCCATTGCTGTACGCATGCATCCGTTTTTGTGGCCCATTCACCACCTCATGAGTGACACCCAGCTCCACATCCTGTTGTGACACCACAGAACACATCAGGTCAGAAATGTTGTATCACCAAACCACCACATTACAAGGAAATAACTTTAAGCTATAATGCCGTATTTTAGGAGCCAGGGTGAAGTTGAGATTGCATGCTTTAATTTGTCATTTGAAATTACATTTGTCTTGCAAACATACATTTGTTTATGCATAAAACAATCCTAACAATGGAAAATTCAGAGGGGAGTAATCTGGCGCAACATGTAACCCACGCTGAGGTTCAAATATCTACGTAAAGGATAAGAAGACTTTATTGACGTAAAAGTCACAGATGGAAGAAGAAAAAAAAAAAACATACCAATAAGACAACTGCATGTTTCTTCATTGAAGAGTCATGGTTTACGGTCTTACTCTCCCCGTTGTCTCTTTTCGCATATTTTAGCTGTGATTTCCTGGAAGTGAGCAGTTGTGCCGGGTCAATTCCGGTCTGTAGTCAAACAAAGCAAAAAGTACAGAATAACAACTATAATATCTGCAAAATACACTGAACTTTGTGAGGCCAAACACTTGCTGTTCATGGGAGCTTTTCTCCACAAAACAAGATGTACTCAAGGACAAACAGTAAAACGTGCACACACAAAATAATTCAGTCTAAAACACAAGTTAATCATAACATCAAGCATTTAGACTCACCTTCGCCTTGAGGGCGCTCACATACAGGTCACTGTTTGCAAAGTAGATGGAGGTATTGGACTGAAAAATCTTAATCCCTGAGCATTCCTCAGCCTTGATCAAGAGAACAAACGGCAGATAAGACGACAAAGATTGTGGGTGGAAAAAGGATGATGGATTAAATCAGGACTAATTGGGTGACTGTGACTAAGAAAAGCTGAGAACAACAGTTTTGAAGTGAAGCATGAGTTACTCAAATGTTACTCATGAGATGGTTATGGGTTCAGTCTCATGTAAAGATGACCCAGAACTAGAAAGTTACAATGGTTTAATGTCTTTTAAAAGCAATACGTCTTACCTCTTCATACTCATCCACATCAAAGTACAATCCAGTATCTGGGATTTGTCCAAGAAGAGCATTCTTAGGGCTTTAACAAAAGAAAAAGATCTGAATTAGACATTTCAAATGACAAAGTAATAAGGTAAACAAAATTCAGAAAATAAATATTGTAATTCATATATATATAAATATTTGACTAATTATTTACTATAAATAATTTATAATAAATGAAAGCTCAGATTTAGTTTGTACTCAATATTACAGGATTAAAAAAGAAAATGTAACTATTAAAAAGAAAAAACAGACTAGTGCATGAATTGCCATTAGAAAATAATGAATTAACGCACTGAATAAATGATCCATGTGTAAACAAATTATTTAATAATTATTTGTATGTACTCAATACATTTCAATAAAATACAAAAAATATGAATGTATTATTTTTAGCTGTAAAGAACTTTTACAAGATTGTTTAAAAATCTTGATATTGAATTATTTTGTATCAGAGCAGTAAGACATTGTGCTTTACCACTGTGTTCTGTAAATAACTGTGAGTATGGCAAAGGCCATGGAAACCACCAGACCATAATCCAGACCAAGGAGAACCGATGCAAAAAAGGACACCAGCCAAATTGCCTGAAGAAAACATGTCAGACATTAACGACAACAAAACTAGATTTCATCAAGTCCCAAAAAAAAACACACACATGAAGTATATTAAGTGGAAAGAGCCATTCAATTAAATAGATGGAAATTAGTATGATTAACCAAATGAGAAGGGCCTCTGAAGCTCACCAGTTCAATCTTGCTGGTTCTCCATAATACAGGAATGTCTTTCATTTGCTTAAACATCCCCAGAAGATTGACCATGATGATAGCAGCCAACACAGTCTAAAGGGAGTACAAAGAGGACTCTAAATAAACACCATCTGATCTCTGACGTCTTTTGCATTAAGACAAACATTTTAGGTGGTTTTCTTTTGAATGCACAATATCAATGAGCTCCATGGCAAGCATATCAGAAAGTTCTTCACATACTGTAGGTAAAGGCTGAAAGACAAATCCAATGGCCACCACAACCAGTAGCACGAGTAGGGACGCCAACAGTCCTGCAATCTGCAGACACACACATCAACATAATTCAATTGAGTCTTTTAGGAGGCACGACTGTCTTATCTTATCTTTAAGGTTTTACAGCAGTGATATAGCCACTGTGATGGATTCAGTATCAGAGGGACACTCCGTTTCAGGAAAAGTAATTTTGCAATAACCAAGAAGTACATACAATTATCAATATGGCATCTTACACAAGAAAGTCTCACTCACTTCAGTGTGTCCTCCTGTGCTCTCCTGTACCAGGCTGCGAGACATTGAGGCGGTAACGACAAACGTGTGGAAGAATGAACTCATAAAGTTACAAAGTCCCAGCGCCATAAGCTCCTAGTCACATTAAACACAAAATGACTGGATAAGACCATCTGGTTTTACCTCAGGATCATAAAAATATTAAAACTACTGTAGAACTAATGTGACACTGAAGACTGGAGTAATGACTGCTGAAAATTCGGCTTTGCAATCAAAGGAATATTGCATTTTAAAATAGAAAACAGGTATTTTAGATTGTAATAATATTTCACAGTCTTACCATTTTACTGTTTTGATGATCAAATAAATATGGTCTAAACAGCAAAAGAGGCTTCTTACAAATAAAAAAGTACTGACCAACTTTTGAACAGCAGCGTACACATAAATATACTGCAGATATAGTAAAAGTATTATGTTAGCATGCTATTCTTCACCAAGTTGAGAATCTTGGCTCCTCACACAAAAGTTCAGTCCTAAACAGACAAACTGGTGAGTTACTGAGGTCACAACCCATCTTTATTACTGTTGTTCATCTTAAGCAAGCCTCTTTGCATTATGTTGCCCCATATGAACCTTCCTTGCAATTAGTGTACTAGAAGTCATTTTGGACAAAAGGATCTGCTAAATGGAAAGTAACCAAGTAACTGTGTGGTCTGGCTAATTCAGATATTCGGCTGCAGTTTAAAGCCATAGAAACCAAAATAAAGGGCAGCTGAATAAAATCCATGTCCCTGCTTCTAGGAAACACTGAATCAAATTACTTGGACAATGAAGTATGGGACAACTGAATTAGAGACAGTGTAGCAGTAGATCTATTTTTTATCACTTCAAAACTAACAAAGATGCTTGAAAAGTATGCTCCTTTAAAGAAAATTCCACTTGGTTTGACATTATGTTATATAACGCAATTTAGATCACAAGTGTGGCATTGTGCTTGAATGTTTTTAGGGCAAATGTACAAGGCAGAACTAAGACATAACAGACATTTCATTTTATTCTCTACCTGATTTCCATCCACACTGTAGCCATGCTTGAGAGCAAAGATTTTGGCTAATGATATTGCAATCGAGAAGCCAACAACAGATATAGCAACGGCGTCTGCGAGGAGGTTAGGAAAGACTGAGAAGTCTGGAATCTTGGGTGGCAGCAACCTTAAAACAAAACATTAAGAAAGAAATATTAAAATGTAAACATTTGTAAAAATGTAAACTGTTTCAGTTCAGAAACTTTGAGTAAGGTTGCGTGATCTTACCCAGTGGGAATTTTACCCACAACTTCTACGCCATAGTTTTCAGACATAAGCATCCCGTATGAGATTCCAGTGGACACGATTACCTTTAAAGAACAAGAACATCATGGATTTACACAAAGGGATTGTGAGTGCATGTGTGAGTACAGTGTTTCATGGAAAGGGCCTTTAAAGTTTTACCACTATGATTTCTCCAGGGATGGGGATAGGTAGCTTCTTCTTGAAGCGTTCATTGAGATCTTTGATGATATACAGGAACACAGTGCACACCAGTCCAATAATAAGCGTGACAACATTAGTGGTGGCAATGTTCCTGAAGACAGCTTCAATGCTCTGGGGGAAAAACAAAATGAATGCCACAACCACACATTTTTCAGATCTATTATTTATTTCAGTTTTTCTTCCAATTAACGAAAATGATTATAATATAATATTATTATAATATGTTTCAGTTTTACGTAGTTAACAACTATCTTTATTCATTCACGGTTCACAAAATACCTTAAGCGATTAGAAAAAGTGTTTATGAAGTAATGTGAAACATGCTCATAGGTGCATCAGTGTCACATATCAAAAACAAACACCCTGGAGTTTCCCCAGGGTGAAAGGTTACTCACATACACTACAGAGAGAGGCCCATTAAAGCGCGCAGTGTGCACTCCCAGCAGGTACTTGAGCTGCGACACTGAGACGTGCACAGCGGCAGCCGTAGTGAAACCTCGCACCAGCGGTTCAGTCAGGTAAATAGCCAGGAAGCCGAATCTCAGCAGACCCAGAACAAACTACAGATCATCAAAACACAATTTATGTTCCCAAACATCGATCTGAAAGTACCACGGGTTACAGAAACTTGAGGAGAATCACATGAAGTCATCAACTTGAGCAGGTTTACAGTATTCCATGAAAGGTGTCTATTATAAACACTGAGTAGGCCTGCAGATATGATGGTGATGTATACCAGAGATGGGGACTCGAGTTTGAGACTCGGACTCGAGTGCGACTTAAGTCCCACACACAGTGACTTCAGACTCGACTTGAGACTCGTCCTCGAAAGACTTCAGACTCGACTCGGACTCGAGCTGCGGGACTCGTGAACAATGTTTATTTTTAGGAAACGTCTGATTAGCTCGCTGTTACCCCCCTCCCTCCGTTACCTATAACCTGCCTACGTAACCACGTACTACGTGGCCTATTGCTGGCAGCGCGCGCGCGACCACACATGAGAGGATAACAAACAAAAAAGTTCGACTGCACCGGCCGCTGCTGTGCCATTCATCGTTAGCTTTGGGTTCAAAAACTTCAAACAAGACGCGCTAAAAAGAAGTGCTCAATGCAAAATATGCAGTATCACGATAAAAGATTCTGGCTCAACTACATCTAATTTTATCAGGCGTCTGAAAACGCACCCTGATAGGTGAGTAAACATGTTTAGCTCAGCATTGACCATCTACCGTTAGCTTGCTTATTGCTTTAGCTACCTAACGTTACGGGAGGTTAACTCCGATTGTCTTCCTTATGAAATATGAATGAGCGTTTGTTTAATTGCCAAACTTGTGGTGGTCGATTAAGTTAACGTAATGTTAATCATTTACGTGCCGCTGGCTGCCCGTTGTCTACAAACAGGTTACAGGATTATTGTTGTTTATGTAACGTTACAGTTTCATTTAGTTATAACGTTACACTGGTTTGAGAGTCTGGGATGTGTTGACTTACAGTATATAAGCTATGATTAGTTGCATAGGCAGTGCAGCCAGAAGAAGCCATAAATGTTTTGTGGCCCATACCTAGTGTGTTAAGAGAAGAGAAGGTTAACCAGTCTGATCTCACCCTTTGGATTTTTTTTATTTCTAAACATTTTGTTCTTAACAAGTTACATGCCATAAGTTGGTCAGTTGCTTCACATTTACACTAAAGATTTTGAGCATTTGAATGTTTTGGAAGTGCACTGTAGTGTTAATTTCATTTGGACGCAATAGTTTATTTGCATTTAGCTACACTGATGTTTTGCACTAAATAGGAGTGTGTCAATTTTAGTGTTGTGAGTTATATCATTTTCTATATTTGGTCTTATGTCTTGGTATGTTCAAGCTACAAGGCAAAATAAAGAAATTAACTAAAAGTAAAGCATTCTTGGTGTTTTTGTCATGTTGCAATAGCCTGTTTACACTGATTATATACCAAAATCAAAGCTGATACTGTATACTAATAGATAAAGGAGTCATAATAACACATGGTACCACTTTATTTTGATAGTCCACTTTATACATTCGACTAACTATAAGTAACTTTGCAGCTGCATGTCAACTAACTCTCATTAGAGTATTAGTAGGCTTAATATCTGCTAATTATGTATTATAATATCTTATTTTGTTGGTTCCCCAACAGATATTCTACTGACTATAAGTAACTTGGCAACTACAAGTCAACTTGTTCTCCAAACCCACATCATAACCTGACAGTCTACTACAGTCTACGAATACTCTAATGAGAGTTAGTTGACATGTAGTTGAAAATGTACATGGTTAGTAGAATGTCTAAAGTGGACTATCGAAATAAAGTGTAACCTAACATATTACATGCTTTGAATTCCTTATATAAAGTTATGCAGTGTTCTAAGCAACCTGGATGGGTCGCTGTACGTGATGCAACGCTTATAACCACAAGAGACTTGAGACTTGACTTGGACTCTAGCTCAAAGACTTGAGACTTGACTTGGACTCTAGCTCAGAGACTTGAGACTTGACTTGGACTCTAGCTCAGAGACTTGAGACTTGACTTGGACTCTAGCTCAGAGACTTGTGAGCATCTCTGATGTATACCATAAACTTGTTTTAATAGGTTTATGGTAACATTGCACTTCTTTCTCTTACAAAGTATTTCTTTATAAAGCTGGCCATTTTTGCTGATAATGTGAGCAGAGTGACTGAGAATTGCACTAGAATGTTTTTCAGATGGTCTATGTTTTTATTATTCTGCTTTGTAATGGCAACATACGACTATGTTGCTGGAATTTACTTGCAGAAATTCCAGCAGAGATACTGAGAACGCACTAGTTTTGATCTACTACAGTTCTAATGGGGCAATCAAGTGACAAATAAAGATGAATTTAGCATTTCAAGACAGAAATAATTAAATAATACATTCTTTGATATCAGAAATTACACACTTCACCCTTAATAAATAATACAATAAGAAGATGACTAGATTCTACACTCTTTGTGATGTTCAAAACTGTGGATAAGAACAGAAAGTGGCCTACCTGAATGATTCCTACTAGGGTTGTCAGAGCTACAACCACTTCCACTCTTCTGGCATCACGGGCGTCAAAATCCACAACCTGTGATGCGTTGGTCCCATTGACTGCAAACATGGAGTCCGGGACCTCCCTTACAGCCACCCCGCCAATCATAAGACTGATTACTGCAAAAGTGCCTGAAGAAAAACTGTGTTTTAAAGAAAACTTATGTATGGATGACATTTTTGTAATTATTTAGCAGAAGTTGTCATATACACACAGTCTAGATTTTTAACTATTGTTTATTTCAAAAACTACTTTTTATGTTAAATGCTTTGCTTAAAAAGTGTGATTGGACTATATTTAATTATAATTATACTATTTTAAGTGTGTCTTAAGCCTTACAGAGTCATTGTGTGAGAGAATACTTGGGTTTTGTATTCTCTTTAGATTTGTTTGTCAACATTATATTGATGTAAGACAATATTTATTTTTATTTATTTGTTTAAAATATTAGATGTTTTTCAAAAAGGGTAGGCATTATAAGCAAGAGCTTCAGCCTACACCTGTTTTAGACAGAAGTAAATATGCTGTAGTTTGTCAGCTGAGCTGTGTTTAAACTAAGTTGTCTGTCTGAAATAAACCAAACCAAACTAAACCAGAATAACAGGTGGTGTAATTGCTGTAAGGTGGCGGAGTGTCGTCACGGAGCAGGAGCCCCACTGTCATGTGAGCAAATATTTACAAGTTTATTTACGTAAGTGAGCTATGTCATGGCTCTCCATCTAGATAAAGCCCTCTGCAACTTGGTCTGTTTTACACTGTAGAGGGACAGAGTGTGAGTGTTGTTTAAACAGGAGGCAGCATGCCTCTGTGCAGCAGGACCTTACCAAACATTTGGACTGTTGCCCATTCTCTCGCTCTCAATTCACGCCATGGGCCCGAGAAAGCAAGATAGTGAAGCAACAACTCTGGTTTGGGTAACCTTTTGAACCTTGGATCTATCTTCTCAGTGTGTTTCTAATATCCTACAGGGATTTCTGAGGGTTTGAAGATCCCCACATTAAACAAGACAAAAACAAAAACTGCAGGGCATCTACCCACCCATAAAACAGTGCACCAGTGCATCTGGACCACCACAAATAAGGCTCTTAAAAAATAACTTATAAAAGTCGGGACACTGAAATCAGAGTCTGTTTATCCCAATGCTGGGATAAACAGACTAATGATTTTAAATCTTATCCAACTAAACTACACTTCACAATGACTTGGCAAAACTGTACAGAGGAATGTAACTTTTCAAGTAGCAGCAGCAGTCTGCTGTCTTTTGCACAAGCAATCTTTTGGGAGAAAAAATAATAAGAAAAAAACAGCCCAACATTGCAGCTTGTTAGACTAACTGCAGTTTGTACTGATTTAATGTGCTGCATGGGCTAGGTTTATCTAAAATAAATTATACTACAATAATAGACAGGTGTGATAAAACATTGCACGACAATCTCTTTGAAGTCATGTTGCATAAATTCACCACGTAAACTTAACTAATCAGAATTCAACTTTCCAGACCAAGGAAACACTTTCAATTTGACGGTCAATGAATCGACTGTGGGTGGTGCAACTGAGGCTGAGACTATTTTTTAAGTCACAACCATGTTATTAAAACCTTGGGATGCATGCCATTGAGTCTCACCTATTGATATATGTCTGGAGGTACCAAAGAATGTGTATAATAGGACGGGATAAAATGACGAATATAACCCAAACACTGGAGGAACAGCTGCCAACATCGCATAAGCAAGCCCTGTTGAATGTGAGAAAGAGAAGCAAATGATCAAATGAACTTCAATAACGCGATGGCATAAGAGTAAACTAGATGAATTAATAACATAACTAACATACTATAATAATAATTACATAACAATATTTTTATATAAGTATTTATATTTAATATAGAACAGTTTTCAATAACATCTGACCTTGAGGTAGCTGCATTACACCTGTGCTGATGCCAGAAACGATGTCCCCAAACAGGTATTCCTTTAGTCGATATGATGGCAGCCATGTTAAAATGGGAAAAAAACTAAGTGCAACCGATTTGGCTTTCTCAGATGAGCAGCTGAAAAAAAAGGGAGAGATGGCTGTTAGTACAAATACATCATCTTCTTCATAGTTTCAAATTTTAATTTGTGTTATTTGAAAATGTGCATATTCAAACACTGAAAAAGGTAAAAAGACATTTTGTATCCTTGCTATCAAATCAGATGTGACACGTTTTGATGCACCATATGTGAATATACGTGAACAAGATTATCAGTGAATGACAACTTAAATTATAGTCTGTCCTTGTCCATTGAAACGGAGTCATCAATTCATCCAACTCAGATTGGGATGGGCAGGTTTAACAAATGTAATGTGTCACTATTGTTGTGTAATACTAGTAGTACTGCAATCTTATATGGAGGATATGATCAAATAATGAATATATTATGACTGTTGTTTTATCAGTCCAAGCTGATTTCCTGAAGTTGAGATAAGACGTGAACCTGATAACATTATTATTATTATTATTATTATAATAATAATTATAAGTTATAAAATACAGTGGAGAAATCACAATAAGATGATTGGAAACAGTTTATATACAGTTGAGTCCAAAAGTCTGATACCACTAGTGCTTTTATTTAGCTTTTAATAATTTAATACACTTTTCGTTATTAATCATTTAATCAGCATAACAATTTGAGAGAAATGTTGAATGTCAGAATGTCTTAGTATTTGGTTTGTCTCTCTTTTGAGCATGAAATCCACAAGTTAGTGTAAAACCTAATGATCATGTCCTCTGGCATGATATGAGAATGATCGTCTTGTGCTTCAGTGGATGAACATCTGATAATGTGTACAAAGAGTCACATGATCAATATCTCAAATTTGCTTGTATGATTAATGACCTAGAAATACTGCAGAAAATTTCTCAATGCGGTCTCAGGCTTTTGGACTCCACTGTAGCTTACAAAACACAGACTTTCATCAGTAACCATGAAAGCAGAATCTATTGAAATAGCCTTACCGGAGATGCTCAGTTATTCTCCGTCTACAGGACTTTGGTGTCCTCTTCTTCCTGTGCAGAAGCTCTGAGTCAATATAGCCTTCATTGAACACGGGTCGTTCCACGTGGTACATCAATGTACCGGATGGTTCCTCGCTAGCAGTTACGTTCTCCATAGCAGCAGTGGAAACACAGGCATGTCAGGCTATGATGACCTTGAGAAAGAACGTGCTCTTGCTTTACTTCCTCTTCCTGTTTTCAATGAATAGTGGAAAGATGGCACTCTGTGAAGAAAGAAAAGTTTTAAGAATCAGCTTTAAACTATCACACACAATGCTGGTTTTATTCAAGCCTGTTCTGTTGATCAGCTATTAGGTAACAAAAAATTATAAGTCACACTTGCAACCCACCTGGTTTATTTGGAGACTTGCAGGGGTCAAACAGTGCTGGTGTATAATTACAAGCCCTTAAAATAATCTCGAATGAAAGCCAGTTTTAGTCTGCACAGCCTGTTACAGATGACAGTGATGATCTACCATGCAACCTACAGGAAAAAATAAATAAAACTCTGAAAATTAGTTTTGCATATTAAACTAATAGGGGTGTGACGGGACACTTATCTCACGAGACAAGACACGAGATTAGGTTCACAAGAACGAGACGAGATTTTTGCACAATATTTTATAGAAATCCTCAATGACAAAATTCATGACTAGAAAAAATAGTCTGCAGGTGCATTTTGAAATGTTTTAACTATTATAATAATCAAATCTAAAAGGGTTTTTTTTTTTTCTTTTTTTTTTCATTCAGAGAATCAGAAAAATTGTGTCCTTAAGTAATATGATATGTAATATGGTTTCATGGTACACCAGTGTGTCTAAAACACACAACCTGGCCTGAGGACACGGTGTACAGCTTAAGCAATAACAACCCCTCCATGGATCCAGTCCATTTTTAGTACAGTCCACTGCAAATCACAAGGCCATAGTAAAACACACTGTAGGCCTATATGACTGATGTTGCTGGTGCAGTAGGCCAAAGTTGGCAAAGCAGTGGTATAAACATTACAAACCATGCACACTACACAAGATGAACTCATGACATTCAAGGGCTATTCCATGAAAACTGCTGCCTTGTCCATTTTGAAAAGGCAATTTAAGATTTGAAAACATACATTTTATTGCAAAGAATGGGTTTGAGTGCTAATAAATTACATTTACATTTATTCATTTAGCAGACGCTTTTATCCAAAGTGACTTACAAATGAAAACAATAGAAGCAGTTCTAACAGTAGGACAACAATATGCAAGTGCTATGACCCTTCTCAGTTTAATCTAACGCAGTACATGTAAAAAATAAATAAAATTAACACACAATTACATTGTGTCATCTCAACTTAATATAAACATTATAAATACTGAGCTATAGCTATGCTTTTTAAATATAAATAAAAAAACAGTAACGGGGGTGACAGTAAAAGTGTTGACAGTTTTAAAGTTCATTTAGCCATAGAATTGTGCTCAAGGCGTGACACTACAGTGTATTTATTGGAAAACAAATGCTGATATATCTAAAAAAAAAAATCATGCTTTCAAATAATCAGTAGCTTAATGTACAAAAGCATGGTGACAGGACATTTTAATATGGTTTCCTATTGGCAAACAAAATATAAGATGGAATGATAAAGTGCTTTTTATCAATTTAACTTGTATTGTAAAATCATGTTTATAGGGTTGATCCTTTGGGGGTCGGGGACACAACTTTGAATGCGTTAAGTAAAGTATAATTTGAGCTAAAATATAAAATAATAATTAATACTACTATAATAATTTAATAATAACGTAGCATTTAACTCTTTTTGTCTTTCAAATATAGAAAATGTGCATATAGCAAATGTCCATTTTCTTGCACACCCAGGATAAGTAGGATTTACAAGTCTAGAGACAGACCAAAAGACGAAAAAGCACTTAAAAATAGTTAGTTATTTCTTTGTACACACAGTAAATGCTGCTTTCAGCCATCCATCGTTGGAAGTCATTGTTTACATGGTTATGAAGTCATGATGTAATAACATACAGTGAGTTTCAACAGTACGTGTGTTTCCGCCATACTCTGAGCCCTCACACTTTTAAAATCAAAAGGCAACCAAAAATAGACATTTTCGAAGAACGTCCTCGTTCTGTTCGACCATACGACTACAGTCCACAAACCTGTTAAGCAGGTACGATATAGTGTAACCAAAGAGCTTTGCTAAATTATTGTAGTTTTAAGGATGAGAAAAAAAGTCTAAGCATCTTACCTATCTCCGTTCTGAAAATGACCCAAGGTCGGAGAACTGGGCTGAGAAGAGTACGAGCATCGACAGTCCTGTTACTGTATAACATGTGAAAGCCCTTTAACTGCCGACGACACGACAGCTGCGTCATCTGCTGCACTGATAAGAGAAGCGCTACGTCACCTCATGCGTCACGACGCACCCGGAAACGCCACATGGGACATGTAGTTCTTCTCATTATAACACAACCGTATCAGATAAAGGAGATACATTTTGTACACCTGATATTCGGCAGATTATAGAGAGATTGTTAAAAAGGTAATTCATGTTTTTATAAGTAATTATGATTAGAAAAAAAGCAGCGTTTTATATAATAAATATAAATAATAATAAAGTATTTCCCCTAAGGACGCAACTGCGATGTAAGCGCGCCCTCTTGTGTAACAACTATGCAACAACAATTTAAAACCAAGGTATTATAAACTATAATATACAGTACTGTGTGCATAATATATATATTGGATTTTTCTCATTGGTGTTTTAAAATGAATTTTTAAAATGTCCATAACTTGCCCCTCACACTATACCATTATAATGGCTACTATTACATAGACTGGCAAATTAGGACAGAGTCTAGGGAGAATCTGATTCCTATTGTATCATGATTCAAAGTACATCAAAATCATAAAGTACCCATCACATGTCACAGTTTTATAACATGATTTAGTTTAAATTATCAAAGTATTTCCCATTACTGCTGTCAGTGATGAAGATGACGCTATCCTACTTAAACTGTAGGTTATTCACCTTTATTGCTACATTCAGCTTGCTTCATACATTCAATATAATGTTACACTTTTAAAAGTAGGGGTAGCCTATTAAAAGCATATAATATGTCTCTTACCTGTAGAGAAAATGTCAAGGTTTAAAAGCCCAATATCAGGCTCCAGCATGTCATGAGTCTAGTACATAAAAACAAGAAAACATACATAAAACAAGATGCACTGAAGCTCTTCAGTGTCAAATGACAGTACGTCACTCCCAGACTGCACGTCCTGGTGTTTTGAAATGCTTTTTAATGGTTAGCTGTACAAGCCTTTATTGCTCAGAAATATGACATTGCAATACTGATGATTACAATGAATTGTGTAAATCGTTGTGCAGAGACATGACAATGCCATGACAATTAACTCTCTTCTGTCTCGTTTCAACTACTAAAATTAAAATGCATTATTTGTGCATGCATTTACATGTGCAGAAGTGTGAGATATCACTCTTTAAAATAAAGGTTCCAAAAAGGGGTTTTCACCAGGTGGGTTGAACCCACCTTTCAGGTCTCCAGGAGGTTCATCATCTCCATCTAAATCCAACAGGAGAATAAAAAGTGCATTATGCTTGTGGTGGGCATATAATGCTGATAGAATATAGTTAATGTTTTGCTTGGTCTCAACTTGAAAAAGATTCAAACGCATTCACACATGGTGATTCTTTGGAAAAGTAAATAGGAACGCCCACTGGTGCTTCTATGCCGCACATGCGACCGCTGTTCGGCTTTCTCACAGTTCATTAACTGAGCGAAATCAGGAAATGCCTTTTGAGACAAGCCCGGATTCAATGCGATGCGTTCTTGTGATTTTAGTCGCTCGAGCGTGTTTAATAAACATACTTGAAGAGTCGTTTTAGAAAAAGTCGAGTGGATGATTTGATTCAGCAGGATGACAATCTAGATAGATAAAGTTACGTGAACGCTGAAGGTTTGTAGGTGAGAGACATCACAAACCTTTAATCATGCCAACAGCCAAAAGAGACAAGGAGTTCACTTTCGTCAGTCCAGTGGTGAAATATTTACTTTTCGTCTATAACATGTTATTTTGGGTAAGTGCTGCTCACTTTTACTTACACGATATTATATTATATTATATTATATTATATTATATTATATTATATTATATTATATTATATGTTATCACATAGGCCTACAAAATATAAAAATAGCCTATAGCCTGCCTATTTTTACTCTCTGTGTTTTTATTATATAAGAACAGAGACTAAATAGTGCAAAATAGAGCTGTTTCTTTAACTTATCACATGACGAGGTTTAATGATTAATGCTTTACCAAATGGCTTTTGAAACTCCCACTTTAACATGCTCAAACACCAAGCAAGCTTTTCATATAGGCCTACAACCAGATGTACTTAGTTCACTTGCAGACTGAATGATGACCAAGTCAGTCTTTTAAAAGCAACTTGACTTATGTATTCATAAAGACAGACCTGCATTCATGGTATGAACAAACCCTGAAAACATCACCCATGGGCATGTCTCAACACCAATGTGTGTTACAGCACCACAGGCTATCTCTGAATACTTCGAAAAATACTGAACAGTTCATGACGCATTGTACAACAGCTTAACCTGTTTGATCTTGACTTGATGTACTGAGTTACACTGAGGGAACTGTCTGCATTTTGCCCCTGCTGCGTGATAAGATCTTGCTAGAATAATAATGAGTTCATATTAGACCTCATCAACAAAACCCTCTTTTGTGAAGTTCTTGATACTGCCAGTTTACTTTCCCAAACTTTTCTGAACTTGAGGCTGTTTCTAAGCAGCGGGTCTCATTGATTCATATGCTGATAGAGCCATGCAGGGTGTTTTGGACTAGTGGGGGCCCCATGCCTCTTTTATTTGTTGCCCTGTAGCATTTAGTTAATAATAGACCTAAATGAATATCGCCTCTTCAGAGGGAGAATCAGACACCCAAAATATTTAAAACAGTCTTGGATAATTACTTTAGTTGTTTGCAGAAGGGCATCAAGAACATTCTAACAATGTAAGTGGACGCAATCGGTAGATTTAAGTAGAAGTCAGTTGATTTTAGCTATAAGAGTGTACTGCATGCTTGCTGGTGCAAATATGCACATGCAAATACCTAAGGAGATTTCATGCTGAAAGCCTCAAGAACAACTCGCTTTTTTATATAATGCAGTATAATAGTACTGGGCAGTTTCTACGGGGTCTCAATGCATTGTAGAAAAGCACTAAACCCGAATCTGCACTGATACAAAGCTAAAGCTTTGACCTTTGTGAGAAGTGATGCAGCATATTACAGTTTGTGGGTGCTACAGGAAATGAGCAAATGTTCAAACCTTTTTACAGTCTATGGTTCAAACTAGCATCTTAGATCAATCAGTGTTCCGGAGAGCTTGTTTCCTTCCTTTTAGTGCGTATGACAAAAAAATGAACATATATTTTAAATAATTACTGCTTGGATTCTTGGAATGACTAAAACAAAAATGAAGATGCAAATGCATTTTAATTGTTAATTTTCAATACAAATTGTATAATACAGTATGAGCTCTGAATTATTATTTAATTATTATAAAATTATTATTATTATTTCATAAATTAAATTATTTAACCTTTATTATTATAATGAATAAACCTAAATAATTTGAGTTAGACCAATTTAAGTACTTTTCAAATGCATTAAAAAGCTCCTTCAGGCAACGACTAGGGTTTTTTCTGGCTTTGAAGTGATCTCAGTCTACACAGCTTTCTCTGAGAAAAACTATGTGGAGTTTCGTAGTAACCGGATAGCTGTGTCAGAGAAAGGGGTCTACATTGTGTCAGACAAACTGGGACCTTTAGTTGTGTGAGAAACCAAGAGTGAATGAACCTTGAAACTTCACTTCTTAATATAGAATTTCATCTGCTCTTTTCTTCTCATGAACTTTCACACTTGCTGATGCTGTATATAATAAAAGTATGTGAAAACCGGTTATATTTTCCCCTCTGAAATGTCAGGTGTTTTTTTTTTGTCTTTACTTTACTTGTAAAACGTGAGGATGTTATCCTGCCACACCCTGGAGAGGAATGCCATTCTGTTTCTGTACAACATCTGTTTTAACATACAGACTCACTCCTTATCTTTCTGTTATAGATAATTGCACTGGTCCTGATATCTATTGGAGTTTATTCCAGGATAGTTAAACACGGTAAGTGTGTTTACTTGTTTTACCGTGTTTACATCCTCAGATCCTTCATAGCCGTATCATCATACACATTCACTTGACATTAAAGGTTCAGGCAGTCTGATATTGCAATAGCAATAGTTTTAAGTAACCAGTGCCATTGTAGAAAGTCAGCCATTAATAATTGATTCCATGATTGAAAGTGTCCAGTAATATATGAGTTACCAAGATAAAGTGAAACTTTTTTAAAATAAAATTACATACACTACCAGTCAAATTTGGAATAATTGAAAGAAAAGTCTCTCAGACTCACCAAGGCTGCATTTATTTGATGAAAAATAAAGTAAAAACTGTATTGTGAAATATTATTACAATTTTAAATAACTTATCTATTTTAATATATTTAAAAATGTTATTTATTCCTATGAAGACAAAGCTTGAATTTTCAGTCTTCAGTGTCACATGATCCTTCAGAAATCGTTCTAATTTGCTGGTTTTCTGCTGAAGAAACATAGTATCAATGTTAAAAACAATTGTGCTGCTTAATATTTTGTGGGTGATGCACTACCATTCAAAAGAATTAAAACTTTTCAGCTAGGACACATTCAATTGTTCAAAAATGACAGCAAAGACATTTCAAAGATTTTTGCAAAAGATTCATTTCAAATACATTTTTTGAACTTTCAATTCATCAAAGAATTCCAAAACAAATAATAGTCTTGGTTTCCACACACATATTAATGTTTTCAACATCAATTATGAGACCCATTATAAAAAATTGAGCACTAAAATAATTTATAATAATTGAGCACCAAATCAGCATATTAGAATGATTTTTGAATGATCATATAACATTAAAGACCGAAGTAATGGCACTTGCATGTTAAACAGTCACAGTAAACAGTTTCTTTTTTTAAATTCTAATAATATTTCACAATAACACTGCTTTAGCTGTACTTTTGTCAAATAAATGCAGCCTTAGTGAGCATAATAAACTTCAAATTACTTAAATCCAAATGTTTGACCAGTAGTATACATACAACATTATAGATAACATTTATCTCTCCTTAGTGTAAGTATGCCACAAAAACTGTTTCTATATATCTATCTGGTCTGCTCTGTTTTGCTCAGCAGAGACAGTGCTGGCCTGTCTGACTGTGGATCCTGCTCTGTTACTGATGATAGTGGGCGTTCTCATGTTCTTCATCACGTTCTGTGGCTGTGTGGGTTCTCTGAGGGAGAACATATGCTTACTGCAGACGGTCAGTAATAAAGCCAGCTGCCTGATCAAAAGTGTCTCATCAGGACAGGACAGTTCCTTTGGCATTTTTAGATGATTTTGAGAATGGTACATCAGAATTTGGCTACATTATATGTGTAATTTGAATCAGTGTTTTCATAACAGTCTTGGTACATTTTTAATCAGGACAAAGTTGCTCATTAGTGGAGATAAAATTACATACGGCATCAAACAACATACATTTTACATAGAAAATGTCAAATACAAAGTAAACCCTAATAGCAAACTCTGATTCCCCTGCAGTTCTGCATCGTCTTGACTATCATCTTTCTGCTGCAGCTAGTGGCTGGTGTTCTGGGTTTTGTCTTCTCAGACAAGGTAAAAAAGCATCATGAATCAGATTAGTAGGCTAATGCCAATGCTACAACAAAGCAAGATTGAGTATATCCATTTTTTAGAGCTAATGTGAACTTGGGATTTATTTGCTCAAGTAATTGACGCTCATTTAAATCAAAATGTTACCTTTTATTTGTTTGATTTACTTTTAATTCATCAGATTAAAGTATAGTATTTGAGTGTACTATTAACTGCCCCTGTATTTGTGAAGGCTTTGTACAGGCATAAACAGTCTCGACATGCTATAACAAAACCCCTTGTCACAAAAACACTGGGTTTTTAGTTGACACGATGCGCCCCCTAGTGTCTGCCACCTACCAGTGTAATTAAGGGATAGTTCACCCAAAAAGGATTTACTCATCCTCAACACAAAAGAACATATTTTGAAGAATGTTGGTAAAAAAAAAGTTGATGGCACCCATTGACTTCCATAGTAGTAAAAAGAAAACGTTTGTCAACTGTTTGATTACCAACATTCTTTCAAATATGTTCTTTTGTGTTCAGCAGATTCATACAGGTTTACATGAGGGTGAGTAAATGATGACAAAATGTTAATTTTTGGGTGAACTACACCTTTAGCTAACAACAACAATTGACCAAAAGAATCAAATCTTTAAATGATCATTTTAATAAATCTGACAAAAAAACGAATTTTTCAATTAAAGTTATCCATTACAGGCTCGGGGCAAAGTTACAGAAATGGTTGACAGTGCCATCAAGCATTACAGGGATGATTTAGACCTACAGAACCTCATCGACTATGGACAAAAACAGGTCAGGGTAATGTATATATGTATATAATGCATAATAATAGTTTGTAATGGCTGGTAATTATGTTTCTGTTTTGTGGTATGATCAGTTTAACTGCTGCGGGGGGATCTCTTACATGGATTGGTCTCAGAACATATACTTCAATTGTTCAAACGAGAACCCGAGCAGAGAGCGCTGTTCTGTACCCTTCTCCTGCTGCCTGCTCTCCAAAGAGGAGGTGAGAAAGGGCCTCCAAAAAAGATATTTGGAATATACCTAAATATATTCAATATTATATATTTAAATGTTGAATATATTAAAATATAATATATACATATATTAAAAATTATAATACTATATATTATGTGGTGGTTTTATTTAAATGTAACTATAAATATAAATATTATTATATTAATAATATTAATAATAAATATTTATATTTTATTAAAAAAATATGTTGTTGTCATTATAGTTATTATAAATAATATATATATTATTAATTTAACAGAAGGAATTATTATTATTATTATTCTTCACAGTTATATAAATATAGTAGGGATATAAATACACATGTAAACACAATAAATTGTTTCTGTAATTGGGCTCCAAAAATTATGTTTGTACTTTTAAATATTATATATGTAATATTTAATATATTCAATAATATATAATTACATTTGAATATATTAAAATATCATTAAATGTTAAATATTTCAAATGTATTCATTATGAATATATTATAAATAATGAATATATTAAATATTATTGATAATATTGTTGTATTTAATTATAATATTGTAAATATATTAATCATATATTAAATGTTGCCTTTTGTCTGTTTTATCAGAGTGTTATAAATACCATGTGTGGTCATGGGATGCAGAACCTGGACTATGTTGCAGCTGGTGCCTTCATCAATACCAATGGCTGCATTGATAATGTGGTGAACTGGATCCACAGTAACCTGTTTCTGTTGGGAGGCATCGCACTGGGCCTGGCCATCCCACAGGTAACCCCTGATATGGGATTAGAGGGCAATCTGCTTAAAGTTGGCATGAAAGGGAAGTTACTATAGTCTTTTCTTCCCTATTGTGACATGAATAAAATGGCCTCGAAAAAGAAAAAAATGTAGGGTGGGACATGATTTTTTCCATCCGGAATTGATTGGATGGTTTTGGTTTGCTATTGCTGTGATGTCATGTGAGTGACAGGTTATTGTCCTGCCCTCACGAAAGAAACACAACATCAGAGAAGGGAAAAGATGTCGCTGCAAGAGGGGTTATTTTACTTAAAGCTCCAGTCCGTAACTTTTTTAAGTTAAAAATAATCCAAAATAATTATATTAAAAAAAACTTATTCTGCCAGTGGTCAAAACTATCTGCTTGCCATAGCTAGATTCAAAACGGTTAGCTTGTAATAATGATTTTAATTCCAGTGGTACTGGTGGGTTTCCGCGGGAAATTCGAGCATGTCTTTGCGTCATTACGTCACACCCGTACACATAAAGAAGGAGTTTCGGCTAGCCGGCTATACTGCGCGTGACGAGATGTTTAGATGTATAGGCTTTTCTCGCAGCACTTTACATAATTAAACTTATGGCATCCAGAAAGATCCAAACAACAATCATCAGTGTCAACTAGAGTTTCAGCAGTTATAAAACCCAAAAGACTTCGTACTTCAGATTTAAGGTGGCTAGAGAAAGAGAAAGAAACCGTCTCATGCGAACACAAGGATTTACACATCGGCGGGGCTTTTGAAAAGTGCGTGAACTCCGTGTTTTGAAGGGGTTCAAAACGGAAGAAGAGACGGCTTTTTTCTGCTGAACAAGTAAGACATTTCAATAGTTCAATCGTGTAACAGTACGTTTTCTTAATTCACACAGTTATGGAGTTTCCTTTGTTGTGCCTTTCTCGTTTTGCTATTATGGAGAATATGAATTCTGAACTACGCAGGTAGCTGCTAACCATAAACCACATTAAATTTAACATTAGTCACGCAATGCTGATGTTGTTAACATGAACAATTTGAGAACAAAGTAGGCTATAATTTGCACGGTTGCTGTAAATCGCGTTGATTAAATCTAACGAAGCTTATCATGTCGAATGCTTTTTCCCCCTTAGTTGGTCAGAACAAAAATGGATTTTACTTACTTGTTCAGAAGACATTTTCTTATGAAAATTCTTATGTTGGTCAAACTTTCAAAAAGTGAATCTGTGATTCTGTATGACAGTATCCACACAGCGCGGTGACTGACAGCAGCACTCGCCTCAAAGCACTGTGTTCATCCGCGCTGTTTCATGCCGATTTACAACCCACGTAAAGATGATAATTCCGCGAATCACTGCAGTTACAGATTTCGAACAGAGAGATGGCGACAAAGAGGAAAAGATACGGACTGCAGCTTTAAAGATTACATGGGCACATTAATTTAAAAAAAAATGATGTGCACAGTTTACTCAATATAAATACTGCAATATTCCATAAAAAAATAAGAATTGTCTATTGATTTAATCGCAACATTAAAATTAAATAAAAGTTGAAAAATTAAATAATGTCAAAGGTGGGTGAGCAGATTTAGTCTGATTTCAAACAGGCTACATTATGCATTTATTTTTAAGCATCTATACATCTATCTATACATCTATATTTAAGCATCTAGAACTGACGGCCTGTTCTCTTCTCTTTTTCAGCTGGTTGGGATCCTCCTCTCGCAGATCCTTATTAATCAAATTCATGATCAAATTAAACTACAGAATTACAACCAACAACATCGCTCAGACCCCTGGACCTGAAACTGGCAAGAATATATATATATATGCGTTTCTATAGAAAACTCATTGCTGCCTGAAGTGACTGACATGGACTGGCTTTTGAATAAGAAAAACTAGGCTTAAGAACAGGCAGTCATGTTTTCAGGTATAAGGTCATTTGTATGATATTTTATGAATCAGAATGTTTGTATAAATATTGTTTAAGTGCACTGAAGATCAATAGGTCAATAAAACTATTTTGGGATATTTTAAGAGTGTCACAGAAAATTTTCAGTATGGACATTTTTAAAAACAAATTTTGTTTTGGCAGATATCATGAACATCTGAGGTTGAATATACAGTATATATATATATATATATATATATATATTTAACTAAATGAAACTTTAATTTTCTGTTTTGTATTAATATTGTTATTGCCGGTATTATAATTATTATTATAATTAATAAATATTTATATTTTATTTGAACAAAATTAATTATTATTATTATTATTCACAGTTATAAGGATGCAAATATGCAAAAGCACGTAATTGATTCCCCGTTTCATTAGCCGGTGTTGCACATGGATGCTCAGGGATTTTATTGGTGGTCAGTTTTAGTCTAACACATGTTACAAAGACGCATTCATAGACATGGTAGAAAATGCATTCCAGGTGCAGAGCACTCAGCAGAGAAACCAAGAGTGCAGCGTACTGAGAACAGCCGAGAGCCGGTATTTCATGAGGCTTTTATCCAAAACTCATTTGGAAATCCAAACAGACAGTGTGGCAGACACCTTCAGTTTGTTAATGTTGTTTAAAGGCCAGTGGGGTAAAACATGAAATGTGAAAACACTGCAGAGGTATTTTATGTCAGTGTATAGGAGGAAAGCAATAAACTGTGTGTAGAGAAAGAGAGGGAGGTAGACTTTTCGGGCCAGGCTCTCCCATTTGGAGCTTGAGTGTGTGTTTGTGTGTGGTCCCCGGTCTGTGCCTCTCTCTGACTCATTCTAGCAGCCATGTTAGACGGGCTTTTTAAGGAGGCCCTGTGCTGGGAACATGCAGCATAGCTTACCAACCACATCCACACCAACAAGTGCTGCTGTCTAAATCTGATACACCAAACTACACAAAGTTTATTCTCCTCCCTTGAGAATTCCGTTTAGTTTACATCGCAACGGCCAAATTGGAACCATGGGAATAAGATGGAAAAAAAAATACGATTTGAAACGATTAAATGAGATGAACTCAGTCATGAATCACAATCACTGTAAACAAATTGTCCTAAAGGTACATCACCAACATAAAAGTCCTTTTGTTGTTGTTGTTGTTGTTGTTGTTTGTCTACAATGCAAGATTTCACTATTGACACTCCAAGTGAAAGTGTTTAAAGTACATTTTGTATGACTGTCTATGTCATATATTGTGCGTTAGTTTAAATTGTCTATCCTGTTCATTGCACTCTTCACTATAGTGTTGTGAATCACACACCCAAGATTTTTAACCATCATTACACTTGTGTATATATTGAATTGACAACATCCTGTTCCTCTCATCACTATTAAAGCTCCTTTCCACCACTTACCAAAAAAAAAAATCATGCTTTGGTAAATCATATGGTCAAAATTATGAGATGCAGTCATAATAATAAGTTAAAAGTCAAAGTTATGAGATGAAAAGTTGAAGTTGAAGAAATACTAAAGTCGAAACTGAGATACTTAGTCACAATTATTATATAAAATCTAGACTTTTATGTCATAATTATGACTATTTATGACATAATCATGATTTACCAAAGCATGTTTTTTTTTCTTATGTGAATCAGAATAAAGGCAAAATAACCACAAATATTAATTAAACAATTATAAGAGAGGTATTTAGCAAAGAAACGTATATATATATAAATATAAACATACACTGTAAAAAAAATATGATCAATAAGTTATGACAACTTATGTTTTACATATTTAACTCATCAAAATAAGTTCAGCAATATTCAACTTTTTTTACAAGTTATACAAGATTCAACTAATTTTTTAAGTCAGTTTAATGTAATTTGAGTTGAAAAGGCTTAAATATCCAAGTTGATTGTACTTAAAAATTTAAGGCAGCAACTTTTTTTTTTATAGTGATTTATGTTATATAGTAAATGAACTTTTTTGATCATAGCCTACCACTTTCAGGGTACACTTAAAATTGTTCTCATTCTTTGTTTCTCATGTAGCTAGAAGAAATAAAGACAAAAGGAAGATATGTAAGATAAGTAAAAATGATAATATCGGACATGAGGGAAGGTATGAGTGAAGCATGTAAATATTCTGTAGGCCTGGCATGAGTTGCTTTTCCCCAGCATGAGGGGGATGGGAGGGGAGCAGAAGTTTTTGTTATTGTGTGTCTGTGTGTGTGTGTGCACCCTCTCCGTGTGCATACCAGAGACAAGACAAAAAAAGTTTCTTGTGAAAGTGAAAGACATTTTAGTATCACTGGATCTCAGGTCTCCATCCGATGGGCAGATGAGTTTTGATAACATTTCTCTCACTCTGGTTTTGCTGTAAACTGGGGGGCGCGGGGACGCGCTGAAGGGGGACGGAGCGCGCAGCCCCGGGATCAAGTTACAGTCCCAGTCCCAGACTTTTCAAGGCAACATTTTTTTTCCTCCATCACAAAAGTGGGGGATGGTGAACGCTATTTGGTTTCTTCAACATTTTAGAGTAAGGAAAAACGGAGCTGAGCTAAACTTTGCGCTGAAGCTTAAAAAGATTATTTTGTTTATTACTTTTACGCACCGCATTTGTATGATGACGAGATTTTCAGTAGTATGTGAGCGAGAAAAGAGGCATAAAAAACTTTGGAATCGGACGAAAAGACATTTCTTTTAACGGGGGAAATGTCGAATCAGGAATCTAGCAAATATTCACACTTTGGCTTTGTTTTAAACCTTTAAGCGCATTGCGCGCGAGTGGTGAACGAGAGTTTAATTGGAAACATTTGATGAAACATCGATACATTGTTGCGTCTCCCAAGATGTCCTCCAGGCGCCTCTGCTCCATTGTTGGAAGCTTTTGGATGCTTTGGATCTGGGCAGCCACCTCTATGGTCGCTCGGGCGGTCATCTTGCACCCAAATGAAACGGTATCCAACGACTTTTGTAAGAAATCGACAACTTGCGAGGTGCTAAAATACAATACGTGCCTAGGTTCACCTTTGCCGTACACACACACTTCTCTAATTCTGGCTGAAGACTCAGAAACTCAGGAGGAAGCCTTTGAGAAACTGGCCATGTGGTCTGGTAAGTTACTGTTTTATTATATAATGCATAAATGCAGTGAAATAACCTTTTCCCCCCTTTAAAGCTAATTGAGTTATTTGAACACTTGAATAAAATTGCTTGATTGGACTTGATTAAAGTTTTTCGATTGTATGTCAGTTTTGAAACCTATTGCATAAGAAAACCGAATATTGCGGAACAAAATATTTCCTATGCAAATTGGTTGCAGAACATAAATAATATTAACTTTGTCATAAAGATTTTGGCATAAGCCCACACAATGTAAAAAAAAAAGTTGCTTCCTTCGATTTTTAAGTACAATCAAGTTGGATGTTTAAGTCTTTTTAACTTAAATTACACTAAACTGACTTTAAAAAATGAGTTGAATCTTGTATAACTTATAAAAAATGGAAAATTGCTTAACTTATTTTGATCAGTTAAAGCATGTACATGCATTGTCATAACTTATTGATCCTATCATTGTTTACAGTGTATTAAACTAAATTAATTGTAAATTATTAAATGTTTAAAATGCATTCTTAGATGACTTTTACATCAGTTATTAATGCCATCCTGTTCTTAATTTTCCTCAAGTACCCCATAATGACCAATCCACCCCTTTCCTGTCACATTCACACCTTAATCCCAAAGTTCTCAGTATTGTTCCTGAAAGTCCATTGCCAATTGACATACGAAAAAGAAAACTACCAGATATTTAAATATCCACTCGATGCTGTTGAACTTAACTAAATATCCTGATTTATTTCTATAAATATTACTTTGACAAATCATCAGGATCTTAACCAGACAGCTAATGAGAATTAGACACTATTTTCTCAGACAATTAACGTCTAAACCTCAATCTCTTGTGCCCAGGGTTGAGAAATGCTCCTCGCTGTTGGGCCGTCATTCAGCCGTTGCTGTGTGCCGTTTACATGCCAAAGTGTGAGAATGGAAAGGTCGAACTGCCCAGCCAACACCTGTGCCAAGCTACACGCAAACCTTGCAGTATTGTGGAGCGGGAGAGGGGCTGGCCCAACTTCCTCAAGTGTGAAAACAAGGAGCAGTTCCCTAAGGGTTGCCAGGTAAGTCATCCATTTTTGCGTACGCCTAAAATGGTCTGAGTTGCCTGTGATGTGACCAAATTGACTTTTGACTTTCAGAATGAGGTCCAGAAGATCAAATTCAACACATCAGGACAGTGTGAGGCTCCCCTTGTCAAAACTGACATTCAGGCAAGTTGGTACAAGGATGTGGAAGGCTGTGGGATCCAGTGCAACAATCCTCTGTTCACAGAAAACGAGCACTCGGACATGCATAGCTACATTGCCATCTTCGGCTCACTCACTCTCCTATGTACCTTCTTCACACTGGTAGGTGAACCGGCGAAGACGGGTCTCCGTAATCTCAGGCTGGCTGACTTCCTGGTGTGCAGTATTTTGACAGAAATCAGCTCACGTTTGGGCTACAGTCTTTAATTTTGAATGTTATTCCTGCTTACAATTTCCCACAGGCTACATTTCTCGCTGACTGGAAGAATTCCAACCGTTACCCCGCTGTGATCCTCTTCTATGTCAACGCGTGTTTCTTTATCGGAAGTATTGGATGGCTCGCTCAGTTCATGGATGGAGCCCGCAAGGAGATTGTGTGCAAAAGCGACGACACTATGCGGCTTGGAGAGCCAACGTAAGTATAAAGCCAGCGGAAAATCCACCTTCCAAAAGATTGGATTGCAGGAAATATGAGTTACGCTGCATATTACAAACATTGACTGTCAGGAACATTTGATAGCCAAGAAAAGTAATTGGACCGAACAATAATAGCAATATAATTATCACTTACCAAATATTTCTGTATGAATAATACCCATTTTCCATGGCTTATTTTTCTCTAGGTCCACCGAGACGCTGTCATGTGTGATTATCTTTGTCATTGTGTATTACTCTCTTATGTCTGGTGTTATTTGGTTTGTTATGCTGACTTATGCCTGGCACACATCATTCAAAGCCCTGGGCACCACCCATCAGCCTCTTTATGGGAAAACATCCTATTTCCACCTGGTCACATGGTCTATTCCTTTCATACTGACAGTTGCTATTCTGGCCATTGCAGAGGTGAGGCTACTCTTGTCTTATTTTTTTGCACGGTTAATATCAGCATATTCACAGTGATTATTTTGAATATATGAAACTTTGAAATAATCCACAGGTGGATGGAGATTCAGTTAGCGGCATTTGCTTTGTCGGCTATAAGAACTATAAATACCGGGCAGGGTTTGTTCTGGCTCCTATCGGTGTGGTCCTTGTCGTTGGCGGCTATTTCCTGATACGAGGTGTGAGAAAAATATTTTCATTCTGCTTGACAGTTGGAAATGCCATAAAGAGATTTACCTAGATGTATTCAATTCATCTATGTTGATTGATACCATAATCTCATTTTCCAGGGGTTATGACATTGTTTTCCATTAAGAGTAACCACCCGGGGCTGCTCAGTGAAAAAGCTGCTAGCAAAATCAATGAAACCATGCTGAGGCTTGGTAAGTTTGGGTTTCCTCTTGAAATTCTTTGCACATCACACAGCATGTAATGCTTTCATCAAAAACAAAATGAAAAGCACACCAAATTATGACAATACAAATGTCAGTCATAGAGGTAAGTAATTATACTGCGGCTATCGTAATAAAATCATGCTATTTAATTATTCCATCTTATCTATATGACAAATTGCAATGTTTTTCATTTCTCAGGTATATTTGGATTCTTGGCCTTTGGTTTTGTTTTAATCACTTTCGGCTGCCATTTCTATGACTTTTTCAACCAAGCGGAGTGGGAAAAAAGCTTCAGAGAATATGTACTGTGAGTCCTCTTTTTCTATAATACACCTACAGGAACAATCCGTGTGTTACCTTATCTACCATACAGTGTTCTGTGGTTGTGATACTGTAGCTACTAGTGCTGTCATATAACAAATGTGGTTTTTAATACAGATGTGAGGCTAATGTCACCATAGCTCACCAAACAAACAAGCCAATCCCAGAGTGTGCCATCAAGAACAGGCCAAGTCTTCTGGTAGAGAAGATCAACCTCTTCTCAATGTTCGGCACAGGCATTGCAATGAGCACATGGGTTTGGACGAAGGCCACAATCCTTATCTGGAAACGTACCTGGTTCAGGTATGTAACAAACATACAAATAATTTTTTATATAATATTTTGTGTTATAATACATTTAAAAAAAGAAGTCTAATATGAACTATTTTCTCTCAATTCCAAGAATCATTGGACGAAGTGATGATGAGCCGAAACGCATTAAGAAGAGTAAAATGATTGCCAAGGCATTCTCAAAGCGAAAAGAACTGCAGAAGGATCCGGAGAAAGAGCTGTCCTTCAGCATGCACACCGTTTCGCATGAGGGACCTGTGGGTAAGCACCTCCTCCTACATGCTAAAAATCATTTTGTCAACTTTTAGGAGTACGCTAGAATATTGAACGCTAAAAGACACTCCACGAACTGTCTACCAGTCACATCTGAAGATGTTTTTGCTACCCATATAAGACACAAATAAATCCTAAAATAACTAACATCAGATTTTTTTAAACCCTTGCAGCGGGTATCAACTTTGACCTGAATGAACCATCAATGGAAATGTCTTCTGCATGGGCCCAACATGTGACCAAGATGGTGGCTAGAAGAGGGGCAATTTTACCGCAGGATATCTCAGTGACACCCACCGGAACGCCTGGTTAGTGCTCTAGTTCTTAAATAATAATTGATTCATATATAATCAATAGTTAAAGGGATACTTCACCCAAAAATTTAAATTCTGTCATCATTTACTCACCCTCAAGTTGTTCCAAATCCGTATGAATTTCTTTCTTCTGCAAAACACAGAATATATTTTGAAGAATGTGGGTAACTGAACAGTTGAAAGTAACCATTAAATTCAATGCCTATCATGAACTGTTTGGTTACCCACATTCTTCAAAATATGTTTTTTTTTGTGTTCAGCAGAAGAAAGAAATTCATACAGGTTTGGATTAACATGAGGGTGGGTAAATTATTACAGAATTTACATTTTTGGGTGAACTGTCCCTTTAACTGTAACTGAAGGCAAATAGCAGAATTTTGGTATAATTTAACAAAAACAACAACAATAAAACATAATTTTACTACACCGTATACTGTGTAATATTTATTATATTTACTACAATAATTAATAGCATTTTCCCCTGCAGTTCCACTTCCAGAAGGAAGGAACAAACTTTGGATGGTTGAAGCAGAAATTTCTCCTGAAATGATGAAAAGAAAGAAGAAGAAGAAAAAAGGAAGACGAAAGGAAATACGGCCAATGGGACCTGCAGCGGACGAAGGGAATCCTGCCTACCACCGGAGAGAGTTTGGCTCCAGTGCAGTGCCGCGCCTTCCAAAACTTCCCAGTCATCGGAGTCTGGTGGCAAACCTGTGGGAGCAGCAGCGACAGCAGCAGGAGGAACAGGATATGCTACCTGGAGCCTTCCCAGAATTCAGGCCTTCATGTCCTCTTCCTTACCAGGACAGGTATGGTGGGTTGGGATACTTACACAATAAACCCTCCAGTCTCCCCCTTGCCAATCCCCTGACTTTAAGAGATAGCGTGCAAGATTGCTTCCAGCAATCATCATGGCGACCTAATGGAGTTTTCCGGCACCTTGGACAGGAGGCTTCTATGATGGATGCTGGCAGGACTGCCGTTGTGCCACGGGCAGATTGCAGGAGGGGTGTACCAATACACTCCAGAACCAATTTAATGGAGGCTGAGCTATTGGATGCAGACTCGGATTTTTAAGTCTTGGAGTTGTTGGTGCTCATATTGTGGATAAAAGCGAAAGGTGCTGGATACTCATGCCAAACAATGAACCTTGGGCAGGACTGTCAGCTCCGCTTTTCTAAAGGATAATGCTTTTTTATGCAACCCTCATGATATTATGAATTTGAACTGGATTTATGAAACATTATTAAAAAGATATTTGTGTCTTCAGCGTGGATTTTATAACATCCTGCTTGTGATTCTGCACTTTTATGGTTCCAATTCATGTTGTTTAGTTTGCCAAGTGGGGTAATATGTTTGGAAACAGGTTAGTGTGTCATGGGGCTTTATTCAAGAATGCATCATAATTCAGATCTTGGCTTCAAGGGGAAGTGTGTAATTTCTGCAGCACTGGAGTCACCAGGCAGAATCACACAAAAAAAGAAGACGACTATTTTCAAATAGGTTTCCCTGTCTGTCATTGGTCACTTTAAACAGAACTAATCCCACCTAGAACACACGCCATTGGTTAAGCCCATGTTGCTGTTTTGGCATGTTCAAAAATAGACAATTTTCAGATCACTTGACCAGTTGGTGACGCTGTAACCAAATTTGGCATTTGCCCTCAGATCATTGTGCTGATGAAGTGTACCAATAACCTGACTCCGCCAGATGGATTTGCTCCGCATATCCATCTGGAAACCTTCCGTTGAAGTAGTTTTGGTAAGGGGCGAAAATACTGGTTAGCTGATTGGCCTATGTTGGTGATAGACGGGCCAAATCAACCAATCAGATCAACGAAGCATATGACGTACTAACAGAGCGTATCTTTTCCTCTGAGAAAAGCCTCCAGAGCAGTGTTTTGCTCTTCTTTCAGTGAAGAAATACTCTGTAATTCCGATAAAACTTGCTCGATAGCCACGCTGATGCTAGTTTCATCCGCTGAAGCCGACATGTTCTTTAGACTGAACTGACGCGCTTCTCGTTGCGTCACACCTCAACCCGCCTCAAAGCCAACGCTGATTGGACGTTCGTTTGGTGAACTGCTCCCAAATTTTCTTTAACGGAAAGTATCCAGACTGATCTGCGAGTGAAACCTTGAAAGCTCGCGAGATCAGGATGGTCTCACGAGGCTAGTGTACCAAGTGTAAATTTTTGATAGATCGAAGTATTGCCAAGATACAGCCTCTCATCTAATTTTGGTTCAAAATTGTTGAATTTGCTTCAGCGTAACTTTTGAGCGGTCCAGCGATCATCTGATCCAATTTTGGTAAAAATGATCAAACCGTTTTCCTTGTCAGCCATTAGTCAGTCAAAATACTGCATTGGTTGAGCCAATGTTGCTGTGTCGGCATGTTCAAACAAACATACAGTGTTTACACTTTTTGGGGAAATCGGTGTACAAATGGCTTATTTAAAAATTGTCCCCACATATTACACTGAGATGGGAAACGTATTTTTTAAAACCAACCAACACATTGTTCTGAAAAAAAAAGGCTGTTTTGTATCTGTTTGAAAATCTCACAATTCCATTACAGGCTTTTTATAGACATAAAGAAAAGTAACTGACAGACAAAAGTGCTATTTCTTCAGAAAAAGAGAATCTATTCATAGCTATTATTGTTACTTTTTGTTTTGAAAAAAATTGCCTGGTGCAATTACAAACAAGTCCACCTCTCACTCAAAGAGTAAGAGAAAATAAAGGGCATTTTTTTTGTTCATTTAAAAATGTTTTAAAATTGTAGCTCAAAATGCCAATGGTTATGTAAGATTCTGTTTCCATTGACAAATATTTCTGTACAGTGCTATTACAAAAAAAATATTTTTGTATTTTCGATTGTTTTTTCTTCCACCAGTTTTATTTTATATTATTTCAAACTGTACATACTTTAGATCACATTTTTGTTTCCTACATCCGTTGGAGTAATTTTGCTTCATACACATACATAATTTTGTTTGAGTTGTTAAGCTTATTGACACTTTTTATATTTTATCTTTTTTTGCCTAGATTGTTATGTGGAAATATTAACAAAAAAAGCAGCTGTGCAGCATTTTTCTGACAATTTGAAGCTGTCCTTCAAGAATGTATGTTAAGAGAAAGTGTTTAATGAAGATGCTTGTGCTCTGTGACTGCGATGATATGTTTTCCTCCATCACTGTTACTGTTATTCGCTCATAAGAGCCAGTTTGTCCTCATCAATACTCTTTTATGTCAGTATTTTCATGTGTTTGTGTGTATCTTTGTTTTTTTCTGCCAAAGTTTCATTCTATTGTATATATTTTAATATTGACACACCATTAATTAATAAAATGTACTGAAACTGATGAAAACAAAAGGATTCAGATTACAAAATGTTGAATGCTTCCAGTTTATTTTCATTATACACCTAAAAAAAAAGGAAATTATGTTTAGTGATTGAATACATTTCATGTCACTGAGAGTATATATTTTTTTATTTTGCAGATAAATGGTGCATCTCATAAGAATATTTAGTAGTACATAAAGAAAGAAAAATATATCTTTCTCTCATTGTTATTCCTGTACTCAAAGATACTTATGAAAAAGAGTATAAAGCTGAATCATAATAATCTTTAAGCAGCTGGTGAGCTGGCAGTGTTTTGAAAGAGTGGTCATATTTGTACATAGTTTAAATACAAATAAACATAAACAAATATTTAATCGTGTCTGTGTTATTGTTCGTTCTCAAGCCAGTGAAATCAGAACAAACTCTTATATGAGCTAAAAAAAAAAATTATTCACTCCATAAAATAGATTGAACAGGAGCGTTCTGCTTGTAAGTGTGATAGGCTATTTGCTTATACCAGTTCAATAAGAAAAAAGCTAATACTGAGTAGATAACTTACATTTTAGACACAATTTTGGCAGTCAGGTTGTTTTGCTCCACCAACGGTCTCCTAGAAACGCACATCAGTGGCGCTTAGTTCCTGAATGAATCTGTGTTTTTGAAAAAATAGGCTAAGTAAACAATTCAATGACAGTCTCATAAGAACAGTAATAGGCCTACATTGCCACATTCTGGAATGATGATTTCACCTTCAGAAAAAAGATCCCTGAAAATCCCTAACTGTATAATATGAAAAACCTATTACCTAATACTATGACATTAATCGTTGTTTATGCTCAAAATATTATGACTCAAATAAGACTTTACTCTCATAATGTTACTTTTTTTTACGTGGCACTGGAACTGTCTTATGTCAAAAATAAAAGTACTTATTATTATTTCAGTTGTTATTATTTGTAGTATTAGTAGTAGTAGTAGTCGCAGTATACTGTAGGTTATTTTTGAAATCACACAATTAATTCTAATGTTTAGACAGGGAAAGGAGGGCAGTGCTGAGAAGCGCGCTCCCAGGATGCGTCGGTGGCGCGCACAGGCAGAGGCTACAGAATCAGATAAACTGATCTGATGTGATTTGATAGTGGACGGAGGTGCGAGACTGAAGCAGGATGGCTCACAACACCAAACACACGATGTCCGCTGATGTGGAGAGTCGGAGGCGACGGTCCACCGAGAGTTCAGGCGAGTATTGCAGTCATCTCATGATTATTAAGAAGTTCAGAGACTTTTTCTCTCATTATAGTATTAATTAGGACCGATTTTAAGATAGTTTTCTCTGTGTTTGTCTGCTTTGTTTGTTTGTTTGTTTGTTTGTTTATTTAGGTAACGTTACCAGTGGTTTTCCTAAACTATAGAAACTCCTTCGATTTCTTTTGGAGATTTTAAGTCATGTCAGTTAGTAATTGTAGATATTTTGACAAATAAGGCAAATCCAATTTGTTGGGGAATTTTGGGAATGTGTCTCACCTGTAAGGAGAGACTAATTTCACCTGTTTCTACCTACCTGTTTCTATCTACTGTAGATGCAAAGTTAAATCTGCACGTAAAAACATCAGTGATGTGCAGATGGCGTGTCAAATATTTGATTAAGTGTTTGTTTTTAATCTGTCACAAATTTAAAGGCACTTTCCATAGTTATATCATCTGAAAATAAAGATTGTAAGCAGTTTTTTTCTATGTACATGTCTTTGAAATTATTTGTGAGAATGTTTGGTTAATTCTTAAATGCTGAAGTAATGTGACCTTTGAACTTCTAAACATATATTTTAGTTTTTAATATGAAATCAATTAAAGCTAATTGGCCCATAAGTAATATTTAACTTCTTGTGTTGAAATATGGTAGTAAATGTAAAGCTTTTTTTCTTTTTTCTCTTTTTTTTACCTATGTCATGATATCAATTAGCAATGCCATCAGACACAGTCGCTTTACTAATGTTGTGTTAGAAACTCTTGTTCATGTGACCATCAGGAGTCTTTTGTTAGTTCCACACTGACTGGTGGGGACTCGACCAAGTCATCAGATGACCATGAGAAACCTCTAAATCCACTGAGACATTGATTTCTTTCTCTTTATGACCTTTAGAGCCCCTCTGGGACCATGAACCCAAAGGTCGCCGCTGTAGCTCCCAGTGTGACAGACTGTGTGTAGCCGGAGCATATATTGAGATTCCAGATACTCCTTCCCCCTGCACCTCCCAGTATTTAGCACACTACACCCCGAAATGCCTCTCTACCCACAGTGAGTGTATTCACATAGACTCAAAGTCTCAAAAATAGTATTTTATCACTTTTTTGCTCTTGTTTGTAGGAAAGTGTTATTAAACAGAGAGTGAAATAAGCTTAGAACAATTTCAATATTTACTGGGTAGAAATGTTTTTTTTTTCTATTATATTTGTATTATTTACATATTTACAAAAATTTACAAATTACATATTTACAAATTTGTTTTATGTTATAAGGTTATGCAAAATGTGTGAAAATAATATAGTTTGTAAGTTTTTAGCATGCATAAAAATACTAGCTATGAAAAAGCAATCAGCCATTTTATTCCAAAGGATTGTTGCAGATCTTTCTCCAAAAATGATCACTTTTCAGGGCATTCCCTGCATTCACGATGCACGGATGACGTTTGGCAGGAAACGAGCGTCAGAACCACCATCCGAGCAGAAAACGAGGTGGAGGCACATAAACTTGCCAACAACTACAAGGTGTGTAAATATGAGCGCTCATGAAATATTCCTGTTTTAACAGTCAGGGATGTTTCCAGAGTGGGGGAAAAAATACAGAATAAGGGTGCAAATCCATGCAATAACTGGAGGAAATGATTTGTTTATGTTAGTTTGTATGCCAGTTTGGTTTCAGGAAATGGAAGAGTCATGTAACCGAGCGGCCCATTGAGGACAGATCTGATGTAGTTAAGGAGCTTTATTCTGAGCTCAACTATATCAAACATCATTCAGGTTAGAAAAAGATAAACCCCAAAAATTATTGGACATGCAAGCCACCCTTGAAAATATGTGTCATTGCAAAAGATATTAAACTATAACTTTGTTTTTGTTTTTAAACTACACTTTTAAAGAAAAAAAACGTTCCTCAAAAATACATTTTTTTGTGACCATTTGTTTAATAGTAATTTAAAAAGAAATGACTGAGAAAGATCTTTACAGATGCCTCATGGTTTAATGTTTGATCATTTATCCTATGGCATCCCATTCACTTTAAGTGTGGTTTGAATGTATAAAATACTGTAGTCTGTTGATTAACTAATGTTTTCGATCTCTTTTGCTTCTAGGATCACTGGTTTCTGTTGGAAATATAGTATATGTATTGCTCTTTGGCTGGTGGATCTCTTTGTTTTACTTCTTGGTTAGTCTGCTGATGTTTTGTACCATTGCTGGGATCCCATATGGTATGTCAGGGTTCATTTGTCATTTATTTTTGTTAATAGTCATGCATTTTTACACTTTATTCTCACTTGAATCTGTTCTCTCATATTTTGTGATAGGAAAACTCTGTTTGGAGCTGTCAGGTTATTTCTTATGGCCATTTGGAAAGGCTTTGCAGAAAGTAAGAGCAAAATGTACCAGCGGAAGGTTCCTCAAAAGCATATATTTCGCTTGTTCATGTTTTTTTATTTTTTATTCTGTCACACCGTTAAATCATTTTGCAAAGGCCAGTTAAATAAACTAATCTTATGTCTTGTAGCATGGCACATGACATTCCAGACTCTGCGGTCTTCATGTTTTCCGTGTTATAATTGATTTAGAATGCCAATAATCCATTTTCACTGATATATTTGCAACTGCACTCCTTTCAAATCTAAATGTGAAGTCTCTCGTCTGACTGCACATATTTAAATTTTTCTTTCAGAGCAGCAGCCTGCTTAGGAAATGTTGTATGAAATTCCCACACTGTGAGGCCATTCCAGAGGAAGTGGATGAAGTAAAGGAGTCTTTGGAGGTGAAAGAATCTACACCTTTGCTGCGCTCCGCTCCTGTCTTTACCACAGAAATCCCTGTGCCTACGCAGCCCCCCAAGCAGGCACGTTACTGGGTGAGACTGTCAGTTTTGAAAATTTATTTAGGGCCCAGTTTACCTGAGGCTGGTTTAGTTTGTGCCAACCCTGGGTTTTAGGCACCATGAAAGTGGCTTGGCCTTGTAACTTGCTCTCCATGGCTAACCTGCTCGGGGCAGGTTATGTTCTGGGTAAGAGATCTCAAACTGAAAACGGACCAATCAGCTGTGAGCAAAGTAATACAGCTATATTGACAATAGTCACTTCCCCAGTTTCTCTTGCTCCAAATTAAAGGTCACTACATAGTAAGAGATTTTTAAAGACAAAATCGTCTGGATTTATATACATTGCGTGAACTTATGTTGTCCACTAGATTGAGAGGTCTGAAAAAGCCTATACAATTTCCCTCCCCTCGAAGAAATCAGGACAGAAGTGGTTGAAAGTGGACAAAAGAGCCCTAAATCGGTCCGATCGACCAAAACGCATCTTAAAACCAGGTGTAAACAGGGTCTAGCTGATAGGCCATTGTTATACTGTAAATCATGCTTGGGGTTTAGTGCATCGTTGGTAAAGTTTAGGATTGTTGACCAGAAGGTTGTTAGTTTGAAGCCCATGAGGACTACTATAAACAAAAAGATAAGAATTCAAAAAATGGTTACCTCAAGGTTTTCTTCCTAGTGTCGGTTGAGTACGTATGTTTGGCTGATGCTGGGATATCCCCTGCTGGCTGTGGTTCATTCCCTGGCCGTCTTCCTGTCCTGGATGATGGTGTTCACCATCCCTGTGTCAAAGATGAACGGCAGGACCTTGAGCATCATCCTGCTCATGCCACCGGAAGAGGTCAAAGTTCGGACTGTGAAAAAGGTGAGTACTATTCTACTGTTTGCATGATACTTTTACTAACTGTTTCACTAATAGTTGTTGTATCTACTATTCTTCAGCCACAAGGTTGCGAGACCAGAGTTCTGCTTTGCTGTTACCGTGCCTTCAACTGGTACTACTACAAATACACTGTGGATGGGATCAATGTGTTTGCTGTCAGTATCCTTCATGTCTATGCCTGATTTTAAACCACTCTCACCATACCTTTTTTATGTATGATTTAGTCATAATTGTTTTATGAGACACACAGGGCGGGAAAAGAAAAATAACAACTGAGACAAAAGGGAGGTAATGATGAAAATAATTAAATATAATAAAGTATATAAATATACTCAATAAATGTTATAAATATTGAACTAAACTACTTTAGTCGACAAATCCCTTTAGCAAGCTTTATTGCCAAAAACTAAAAAGTTGATTTCTTTATGAAATGCAGTATTTATGGACGTTAAAATCTTTAAAACCGATATTCAGACCTGTTGCCGCTGGTTATCATCACTCTGGTGATCGGATATGTGGACAGAGACAATTATTTTGTGAGCTCAGAGGTGAAGTTTGCCACAGCAGTGAGCTCCATTATCCCATTGTCTTACTACATTGGAATGGGGATAGCAAGGTAACATTTAAATCTGTTTATATGTACCTATTCAAGTTTCTATTTTTATTATATTGTTTATTTTAGTATATTTTCTTCTTTTTCATGTAAAATCTGTGTGAATCCCATTGTTTTCTCTGTAGTATTTCCGCACAGAGTAACTTTGCTGTGGGAGCTGTAGTAAACGCCACGTTCGGCTCGATTACGGAGATGGCCTTCTACATCACAGCTTTGCTGCAGGGTCACCGCGCAGGAAACAAGTGCTATGCGGAGATCGTCAAATCTGCTCTCACCGGCACCCTGCTGGGCTGCATCCTCTTCATACCTGTGAGAGCGAGTGTGCTTTTTTATGTGTGTGTTTCTGGGATGCTGCTTTCTCACACAAGCCCTTCTGCTCTGATACCAGCCACGCATACATGTTGTACATTATAAAATTCCCCTAACAGCTACATTCTGTGTGAGTGCGTTTTAGGGGATTTGTATGATCATCGGGGGCTGCAAGCACAGAGAGCAGCGGTTCAACAGCAGGTCGGCGGGGGTCAGCTCAGCCCTGCTCTTCATATCAGTAGGAGGTGAAAGCGCCACCAAAAATTCACTATTTTTAGGTAGTATGAATTATTTTTGACCTTTTACCTCTGACCACAGGTGTTTTCGCCCCCACGTTGTTTTCAAAAGCTTATGGAAACTTTATATGTGAGGGCTGTAACAACGCAGCTGGTAACACCACAAACCCCTTCATATGTAACAATTGCCATTATGACCTGGTATGTTGTTTACTTAATATGATTCAGGCCATTTAGACACATTTTGTGGATGTATATGATGCAGAGCACAGTATTTAAATATGACCGTGATATTTTCCTACAGAGCGAAAACAACCGACCACTTTTTTTGAGTCATATCGAGTGAGTATCCAATTGCACTTATTTTTACAGTCGTCATCATCTTAATTTGTATAGCGCTTTATACAATACAGATTGTTTCAGAGCAGCTTTACAGTGATAAACAGAAAAATAATAATTCAGTGATGCAAACAGAATTCAATTCTGGTGTAAAGCAGGTCTAAAAAGACAATAGTAAACAGTCATTATTCAAAAGTATTTATTACAGCATGAGCATAAAGACATTTAAATGTTTCCGTCTTTGCTTTCAGGCCTTTAGTGTACACTATCTCTGTCCTGTTACCTGCTGCGTATCTCATTGGTCTGATCTTCACCCTTAAGACTCATTCGCATATTTATGATATCCACGTCAGTGACGGACACTGTCATGGTGTGTATTTGTGATTTTGCATTTGAGTTATGCCGTTGTAGGTGTGTGTGCTTTTATTATTTAATGTCCTAATCTCTCTCTCTCTGTGTGTGTGCTAGTTATTAGTGACCACGGTGCAGTGGTTCACTGGTCTAGAAGGAGAGCTCTAGTGGTGCTCATTTTGGCTACGGTATTGATGGCAGCATGTGCTGATCTTAGCACTGAAAACATCAAACCGATCCTCTCCAACTCCAGTGTCTCACAGGTACAAACATGTATATAAAAATGTTTTTTAATGTTTTTTTTTAATCCAATATTTTTTTAATAATCAAAAAATATATATTTAACTTTTTTTTTTTTTTTTTTCATTTTCAACTTTCTTTTGTAATGTTGCTATTTGAGCATGAAAAAGTTCTCCAAAGTTACAAAGTCAACTCCAAAGGGAGTTTATCTCTCTATCAGTAAGCACTGTTTCTGCACTCCCTAAATACCTCGATTGTAGTCTTGAGTTTTCTTCCAGGAAGGTTCACGTCACAATATTCTTTGTTTAAATAAATTCTCACCAAAGGAATCGAGTCCTGGTCGAGTTGCTTTAGTAGTGTAATGAACTTGAGGTTATGGTGAGGGGCGTGACATTTCCGACTCGCTAGTCCAGCCGACCAATCAGAGCACATTGCACTTTTTGGAAGGAGGGGCTTCAGAGAGACCGGAACTAAACAGCATTACAGACATACTGGGAAGAGAGGTGCTGCAACTATTTAAAATAAGTGAAAAATTAGTTTTTTGAACTTCAGACATGAAAACCTGTTTTAGTAGACACCAAAACCAAAACCTTTTATTAATACTATAGCCTATAGGTCTTTTTCATAAATAGCAGGCCTTGTTCTTACTCTGTATCCAAGCTTAAATGTTCATTTATAGCACAAATATATTGTGTTACAGTATTTTATTGGAGTTACTGTATTGGCCATGGTTCCTGAGCTTCCTGAGATAGTCAACGGGATCCAGTTTGCTCTTCAAAACAACATCAGTCTCAGGTTACAACTCTTACAAAAATGTGTACTTAACTGTTTTCAATATATGATCTGGATATGCCTCTAATATTGTTATGTTTATCATCTAGCCTGGAAGTGGGGAGCTGCATTGCAGTTCAGGTGTGCATGCTGCAGATACCGCTACTGATCTTGTTCAATGCTTTTTATGTAAGTCACACTCAAAAATAACTTAAGTTGGTTTCTGTTACTTAGTTCTGCAGTATGACACAAGTTCTATCTGTTTCTCCCAAGGATGTTGGATTCGTTCTTATATTCAGTGATTTACACCTCTGGGCAAGCATCTTTAGCGTTATCCTGGTCAACTACATATTTATGGATGGAAAGTCGGACTACTTTCAGGGTAAGCGTTATTAGTATTAGGGATTAAAGGACCAGTTTGTCCAAAATATAAATCATATCATCAATAGCTATTATGTAAGGAACAGTCTGCTTAACAGCCATGATCGCTCTTCGGCAATAACTCCTTTGTATTCTACTGAAGAAAGTAAGTCATACAGGTTTGAAAGGCGGATGACAGAATTTTGATTTCTGGGTGAACTATTAAAAAATATAATGGTGACTCTTTACAATAATGATTCATTTAACATTAGTTAGCATGAACTAACAATGCTTCTACATGATTTATGTTTCTACCTAAAGTTGTAAAAATTAATTAAAAAGTTTGCGATTTAACATAAAACATTTACGAAATAAAGCACCATCCCATGTTCAGGAAAACAAAATGGTCACTTCATGGGAAATTGGCCCAAAATATCTGCAATAAAAATGGAAGTTCCTGCAATCGCCACTTATCTATTTTTTCCTACATCATAAATGACTTGCATTTCAGAGTGCGTCGACGAAATATTGATTTGCGTTCAGATGCCTGGTATTTGAAAATGCAATCATGTGAGATACTTAGAGGGAATTAATCCAAATCATTTTGATGACAGGCTTTGACTAAGGCATTTCAGAATGATCAAACCAACATTTGAGATTCTGTGCTATTACATTTTTCAGCTGGTTAGTCCAGTTATCCAATCACATCCATTGTTGAGGCAGTTTTTTTTGTTCGAGAGATTTATTCAGTAAATGTGTTTCCATCGTAGTTTATGCGCATGTCTTATCAGCATTTTTTTTACCTGTTTTTAACTTTACAGATTTTTTTTGTGCACTTTTAGAATGTATGCCCATCTTGCCGTTTTCATCCAGTATTTGTTTATGCGATATCCTAAAATGCACATAAATAAATATGTGGATGGAAACATAGCTACTCCTAATTAATGTTCATTTCTACATTACATTTACTACATTCTTACTAATACCTTTTTAAAATCAAAAGTATCTGTTTACATAAGTTAATGCACTGTGAATTAACATTATAATTAACATTATAAATGAACACTAATAAAGGTTAATAAAAGCCCTAATAATATATTGCTCATAGTTAATTCATGTTTACTAATGCATTAATGTTAACAAATGAGAACTTATTGTAAAGTGTTACCAAAATAACAATAAAATATAACTGTTATGTATAATCATGTATGAACTAACGTATAGAAGTTTTGTTTATTGTGCCTTTTTGTTGTGCACGATTTGAGACAATGAATTAGTAGTATTGTTATATGTCATTTCTATGGTTTGGTTTAGTTACAAGATATTAGTTCAGGTTTCATTGTTACATTAAAAAAAAGTGAATACTAATTTCTGACTATGGTTATTGTGTTCCTGAACAGGAACGGCTCTGGTGGTTGTGTACCTCATTCTCCTGGCTTTGTACTTTTTTGCACCTGCTCCTCTTGGATGTTGAATTTTTTTTTCCCTTTATTATCTTTTATTGTTGGCATGTTTGTAGTGTTTTTGTGTATGTTTGTTTCATATACACTGTAAAGTTCTTTATTTAGATGATTTGAATAAATCATCCCCCCCAGCATGCTCTCAGAAGTATGAGAGTTTGCTCTTTGAAGCTGAAAGCAATTTCATGTTTACTTAAAATATGCATAAAATATTTTACATTCACAAAAAAAAGGAGTAGATTTAGCAATCTATTAAAATTAATAAATCAATTTTGTGTTCCTTTAACTTTTCTTGTTGTCATTTTTGATTAGATGTAAAAACAACAGAGATACAACACAGCCAGCAGTTTGAACAAGTTTATTAATTTTTCAACAATAAAACACAAAACTGGTACACAAGTTACAGCTAACCGGTAAGTACCTTGAACATTTGCTGCACAACTAAGGAATTGAAGTCCAGCGAGACCCCTTGTCTAAAAAAAACACAAACCCGTCACGCCATGCAGACTTGAGTGAGATATTCCGCTGTGTTGTGGAAATCATTTCTATGAAAGTCATAAATATGGAGTTGTCACAGTCTGCACATTGCCTGTATGACAAAGCACCCTAAAGTCCTGAACCATGCAAACAGGAATCCAGTCATGAAGAAATAAAATGGCAGAAAGTGGTGGGTAGGCACATATTATAACCAAATTCCAGAGTGAAGCTACAGATACAGAGGTTGTAATGATAGCAATTATAAATCTTTTAACATTTTACTCAACTACATCAATTGCTGGTGCCTAATAAATGTAGTTACATGGCCACAAACCATAACATGTTAAAATAAAATGCATGAACTTTGAATTCAAGATGCTGTATTTGGCATTTTGACTGATGTTTTTGAATTCAGAGCTTGATAGTTTAAATGGGTCCGCATAGTAGAGATGCTCCGCTACATTATTGCTAAATGACAGGAAGGTTATCAGTTCTTTTTTATTTTTTTGACTGTACAGATATACACAAGGCCCAAAATATCATAAGCATTATGCTGACCAAACACGAAATAGTCTAAAATTTTAAGTTTTATTTATTGTAAATGTGTCAAGTGCTAGAAAGCTTGATGAAAATGGTCAGTGTTGTTTGTAATACACCTATTATAAATTCAGGTCAGCTTGTTTGAGTAAAATTTAAACGAAATAATAATAAAGTGCTTTTAGCAAGGCTTTGTCTCATTGTTAAATTTAGCACATTATCAGGTCTTCCTCGGAAAGGCACTAGATCAATTAAATGAGTGTCTGCAGTTGGCTGAAATGTGTTGATTTAAAAACTTCGATGAGTGATGATTCGTTTAAGGAAAAACAAACATTTTATTTCAGTAAAAGCTTTAAAAGTAAATTAAGGAGCACCTTATTCACAGTGATGTAATGACTGGTTTACAAAATTGAGTGAAACATGGGAACAGCTCTGCTATGGCTGTACAGCTTTGTTGAAAAAACAAAAAAAACAAATTACTCCGTCTGGTGTTTGTGCCTTAAGTGCAGATCTGAGCAACAGCGTCCAACCTAAAAATCAACATTCGCAGTGAAAACCAAAAAATTGCCATTTTGTTAAAACATTCAACATTTCAACACTGTTTGCACCATTTTCATTGCAGTAAAACCTTAAATCACAATCCCAGGCATCAATAGTTCTGCATAAGTTGGTATCTGTTCAGTAGTGATCTGAACTGTTGCCTGGAAACGAATTAAACCCCAATTACATCACTGCTGATTAAATATTCATGCTGTGATGTGATTTATAAAACTTAAATAATTCTTTGACAGGAAAGGAATTAAGATACATCAGTAAAAACAACTCAACGTCCCTCATGTCACTTCTGAAGGCCAATAAATAACAATATTACAATCTCAAAAAAAAAAAAAAAACCTTTCAGGTCACTGACCCATATAGTGTTTGAGAAAAAACCCTTCTCATTAAAGGATATTTATGTTTTGTATTGATTTTCAAATCATTAAAAGGTGCATACGCAAAAAAAAAAAAAAGGCATCCTACAGTTTTTGGTTTTAAGGCGGGCTGCGTTAGGATGGGGTTCCTTAGTCGATCCTGGAGCTTGAGTCCACGCGCTGGCGTCAAGTGCCGTTGTCCTGCCCATGATCAGCTTCCGAAAAAAAAAAAAAAAGTACACACATAGTACGTACACATATGGTCTCTCGCGCTCACAGCCCCCTCTTCTTTATTTTAAGCGTTCAATGAGTTCCTGGGTGAGGCCCAAGTTTAGCAGCTGTATCGGGGTAAGTTGGGCCAGGTGCGGGAAGGATTTGAGCAGACGATCCCAGCACAGCTCCAGCAGACTGGGCACTACCAGCCAGATCTTAAACAAGGAACCAGTCCGCTTATTCTCATGGATGTTCACCACGCCACCGTGGATGTACATGCAACCAGCCTATGAGGGGAAAAAAAGAAAGAAAAAAAAGTAGTTAAGAATAAATATGAATACTTGAGGATGACAAAAATAAAATGTAAATACATAAAAATAAGTAAAAAAAAAAAATAATAATAAAAAAAGGTAATAAAATATATAAATAAAATAAACTGACCGGGGTAACAGCAGCACAATGGAAATATGCAGGTTCAGGCATCACTGCAGGTAGCTTATTCCACTGGAACGTCTGCAGGTTGATTTTCCACAGGTCGTCCAGTATTACTTCACCATTGTAACCTCCACATATAAATACATCTGCCACAAACAACAACAGCAATCAAACACTGAGCTCGAAAAAGTAACAGTAAAAGAGTAAAATCTTCAATTCAACAGTTTAACTAACTAACCAATGGTAACTAACCATTTTTAATCTGCACACAACTATGACATCTCCGTGGGGCTGGGTATCCTGAATAATAATAATAATAATATTTTTTTTTTAAAGCACTGAATAAGCATGTAATACAAAACATTCACAGTGTGCTTTCCATTGTCAGATGTCAAAAAGATTAAGATGAGAATATCATTACTTACCTATTCTTTCATGAGGCTTAGTTGTGATTTCCTCCCAGGAATTTGTTTCAAGGTTATATGCGTGTATCTGATACAAACATTTGGGACAATTGTCACTTACAATAAAATTTGTGAAAAAAAATCATTCAGTAATGTAAATTGTCAAGCAGTTTGATTGGACAATTTAAGAACTATTTGCACAGGGACGTGTTTATATTTCATAAGCAGGGCCAATTATTTCCAGTAAACAAAATAAATCATGTAACATTTGTGAAATGAACGCTACCTAAATTGGTGATTCATGGAAGCATTTGTACCTTGTCTAATGGGTAGGAAGTCCAGGAAGTTCCACCTCCTAGAATATATATCCTCTGTCCATCATGAGCTATCTCATGCCTATATCTACAAGAAACAAATTTAGAAGGAAGTTTGTCATATCTGCTCAAAGACTGACCTTTTAACATCAGACAAAGAGTGAGTTTTAGTAACCCTAGCTTTGTTTAAATGGTTAGTGTCATCAATTACTCACCCTTATGTTGTTCCAGACCCATAAGGCTTTCATTCTTCTTCAGCACACAAATTAAAATATTTTTAATGAAATCTGAGAGATCTCTGTCCCTCCATTGAAAGTCTATACACCCAAAACTTCAAAATGTTCATAATGAGATCGTAAAAGATTTTCATAGGAATAGACTGGTTTAATCCAAGTCTTCTGAAGAGACACGATCACTTTATATGATGAACATTTAAATTTAATTTAGACTTTTATTCACATTTAAACATTGATCAGAGAGCACAAATAGAAGCTCAACTGTATCTCTTGACGCGCGAGAGCAACCCTTATTGGTTCTTGCGGAAGCTCAAACGTGCTGCGCACGAGAATGAATGAACCTTGTTTGGTTCTCTCTCGCACATCAAGAGAGCATGAGCGTCCATTTGCCGAATTTGAACGCTATATGTATGTTTGCTGTTTTTCATAAACACTGTTATACTGCTTAAAACTCTCTTCACATCCTGATAGCAATCAATAAAAAAAATGGTCTAAATATTTTTTAAACATTTACATGCCAGGGCCTGAATTTCGTTTTGGAAAATGGGGGGGAAATCCCCCCTTAGAGGATTCTCATGGGGGGGATTTTTGAGGGGGAGAAAGGGGGGGCATTTTTTCCAAACAAAATTATTACATTTATCTTGCCTAAATGTTTGCGCTCATTGCATTTTTACAACGGGGTAATATTGTTGTTAAGAATTTACACATCACAAGGAAGCTTGATTTAAATTGTTTAATTAAGTTGAAAAAAGTAGCACAAATAAATACAATAGAATAAAGATACAAATAAATATAATTAAAGAGAAAAGTTTTTCAATGGGTCTAACACTAGTATTCATATACAGAATCTGAATAAAGTAATCAAATGGAAAATAACACTGGGTAGTATTTTAGTCCTGAATAAATTAAATACATAGGCTATTAATCCAGATTCCTTTAACTTAAAGCTATATTTTGTTGTTTTGACAACAAAATTAATGACAGACACATATGGCTGCCGTCACTTTAAGAGCTAGTGCACGGATCCTGTGTTCATTATACTGGCATGCGTTTTATGCTTAGGCCTATTAAAGACAAAACCGACTATGTTTAGAGTACAGCCTACTCACAAAGACCGAAATTGACAATTTTGCGTGTTAAAGCAATAAAATCCGCGAAAAATAGTTACTGGCCAGCTGTTTTTGAGGCGGATTTTCTATGAATGTGCGCATAGAAAATAATCTCAGAGAGCGCGCGAGCACTGATTAGTTTAAAATCGCTTGAATGTTTAAACTGGTAAGACTTAAAAAGACTTCAGTCACGATGCACTGCTGGCCCGGTTGTGCAAGTGAATATTCCGTCATGTCCCGACCTTACAGTCTATGGTCCCGACTCCAAAACGCGAGTGTGTATTATCACCGCAGCGCTTGATGCCTGCCTTGCACAACACATTATGAGAGAAGAGATAGAAGACGCGGCACCGCTGAACACTCACGCTGTTTGTGAAATTGCGTCTGGAAGATAGTTGTTAAAAGAATTATTTGATTTTATTATCTGTGTGGATTACGATTGCGGGAATTTCCCGCATTATAAATGGGAGACCTGCGGGAATAATTAGAATTATGCGCAATACCCGCAATCCCGCGCCGAAATTCGAGCCCTGCATGCATCTTCTGTGGAAGTCTCAGGACTATGCAGAGTTGTAGACAGACAGCAGCCGCCTTTTACAGTTCCTCCTGAACCAAAACAATGAGCTTATGCTAAATTCACGGCATAACTGCAGTGATTAAGCGATTCCCGTCCTCGGAATTATGCATTTGTATGGCAGCACTATCAATGGCGAAATGAATCTGCAGCAGTCAGGTGGTACAAGTCAGCGTTTGCAGTTGTTTACGTTCATTATTATTGTAATGTTATGTGCTTTGAGACATGGAGTATTTTAACGCCTTCTCTCCTGCCGCTTTGTAGACTCTGCTGTGCACGTAGGAAGAAGCTTTCAAACCTAGCTTGCTATTGCTAGCCTCTCAGAAATTGCCTACCCTACCTTTAATGTTTATGTGTGAATAAAAGCCTAAATTAAATCTGTTCATCATATCAAAGCAATCATGTCTCTTCATAAGGCTTGGATTAAACCCGCTTGATTCATATAGATTTATTTTACGATTACTTTATGAACGTCAAGAGTTTTGGTTGAATACACTTTCAATTAACGGTTACAACCAAACCACAATCCCCCCCCAAAAAGTTGACTCACCGCTCCTCAGGCAGGTCGTCCGGAGGGTTGTTGGGTTTCAGGTGAATCCACTCACGTGTTGTTAGATCCAGTCTGTGAAGATCTGTGCTGTAGATGTAGCCTGTCGTACCTCCAAATACATATAGGAAGCCGTTGATTATGGCCATCGCCTGCAAAACACAAAATAGGGATCACTCAATTAATCTACATAATATAGTATGTTTACTAGAAAACATTGGATACCTTGTACTTCTTTTCGTTAATAGGTTAAATCATAGGAATTTGTTTGGGTTTTTGTACCTGCCCATATATTCGATTGGGTTTCTTTCCCCTGCAGTTGAGGAGGGACCAACGTTTGTATTTAACATTGCAGACGTGAACATCATTTCCGTTGTTTTCCCCGAACGGGATTCCGGTCCCGCCGAACACAAGCAGGTTATTTCCGTGTAAAACAGCTGTGTGACGTACAAACAAGATGGTCAAGAGAGGAAAGATGTTTCAAATACCTGGCATACCGGTGGCTTTTTGGAACATCCTCAAAATAAAAATAAAACAATTTAAAATATCATTTTCACATTACCTGACATCGAAGCCAGTTCAGTGGGCATGAAACCCTCCGTGCGGATCTGTTGCCATGTCCCTGTGGCGAAGTGGAACCTCCACAGCTCCCTGAACAGCGGGTAGTCTTCGTTCTCTGAGCCACCTGATTCATCGTAGTCGGGGTTGTACCCTCCGAACACATAGAGGTTGGTGTTGTCTGCTACACAGCGATGGCCACTCCGGGCCGGAGGGGCTCTGTGACCTACAGAGACAGACAGCAGCCTATTGATGATGAGACGACAAACAGCTGGGAGGTCCTCAGTGAGTTAGCATCTGTCTTGAAAGGTAGAAGGAAAGATTAAGGATGGAGGGAAAATGAGATCCAGTGTTTGTTGCTGGGATTGAACTGTAAGGGGTTAATTCCACTGTGCTACTTTTCTATTGGTTTTTCAAAGTAAACGCAGACGTCTTTAACCGTTGAGCTCGCGTCTTTTGCAGCGTCCCGCGCATGACACCGCATTCTACGTGACGCGTTGTGTGAACCAGCCCCAAGGCAACAAATTATTCTGAGTAAGCACAACGCCAATATTCAAGCCTCCACAGGACAGTTCTGGAAAGCAGGAAGTAGATTAAAGACACATTTGAGTTGGTTCTTCACAAAGTCACCTGTGAAACAAAATGCAAACTGCATTATTAGTTTAGTTTCATCCATAACATAGAAACATAACCCATTCTGATTTTACTAACTTTAAGGTAAGCAGTTGGGCAATTAAATGCATCTACATTTCAGATACATATATATATTAGATGAATACACTTTTCTTGAGTTAGATCAGCTCTATTATGAGTAAAGTGAACCAATCCAACCACATCTAACCATGTTCATCCTACTTGAAATGCATTCTTGAATATACAAATTAAAACTGAGTGAGCTTTATAATCTCCAACCAGATTTTTTTCATATTTAATCCACTTGAATGTCATAATGAGATCCAAATATTGCAGATGTAGAAGTGAATGGATTAGCCTTAAATGAACTTCTTTCACTCAGATAAAGCTTGAAAATGTGTCAAATCTATATGTACAAATAAATATCTGAAGTTTGACTTGTTTAGAAGAAACATCTACACGATGGTGACTTCAAATACAACAATTTAACACAAAACAGCATGGGTAACAGAACACAGCTGTGACACCAAATTAATTAACAACCACTAGTTCAAAACCCTCATAAGCCTTCATTCCTTGTCCAGGCCTGCTTAATTAGATATTCATATTAAAGAAGCTATGGCCACTCCCCCAAACACAATGCAGATTCAGATACACAAACAGGATCTTGGCTGAAACAACTCCATTTATAAAGGTTTTTATTCATTTATTAATATAATAATAAATATTATATTTATTTGTTAAAAAAACAACAACTACTAATATATATATATATATATATATATATATATATATATATATATATATATATATATAAAACAATTTATTTTTATTAGCATTATTGTTGTTAAATATATTATAAAAAAATGGAAAGTATATCATATTAAATATGTTTTGTTTCAATAATGTAATACATTAAAAATATATTACAATTAACCAAAAGCGCAAAAGATGTAAAATGTCCAAACATCCGTTTTTTCCCCCAGTGTACAAAACTGTTGTTGACACCCAACTTTATCTCTGAAAATAATGGATCCGCACGCGCACGGTTCAAAGGCCACCGAACCTACGATCACAGCATGCGAAGCGCCTCACCCTTGCAAATTTCTTGCCAGTGAATTTGCCTTGAAACCTGGATGCTGCACCTGAGTGAGAGCATCGCAGGGATAATAAAGATGGGATGGAAGTGAAAAATAAAAACTGACAAATCAATAAAAATAAAAAGGATCAACACACATCACTTACAACCAGACGAACACTTTGGCCTTTCCCGGGTTTTTTTAAAACACCCAAGCCATCCTGCCCCAGCTTTGCCCACAATGAAGCTTAGCAGAAAGAGCCCTGGCAAAAAGCGGTGGTCTTTTTTTTCTTTTTTTTTAACACCACAGTGAAGAAGAGCAGTTTTGAAGAGAGGGAGGGTGGGGACAGCATGGGGGAGGCCTCCAGATTTGTCATGTGGGTTTTCTTTTTGAAGTTCAGTTAAAGGCAGACATCGCCTATTACCCACCTTCTCTTAAAAACCTGTTAGGGATCCGTAGACTGGGGCAGGGCTGGCCGAGGAGTCTTCGAGCTTGTACCCAGGAAACTCTCTTCTTAGAGCCTGTTACCACAATCACCGCAGTCAGACAGACAAAATAACAACAACAAAAGGACAATGGCAAAATAAAGAAAAACATAAACAGACAAACACCCTGCCCATCACTCAAGGGGTCAACAAATGGGTTTGGAAATAAAAAAAGGCTAGTGTACAATAAATTGAGGTGGTATGTCACTTCCTACATAAAAAAACAACAACAACAACTCCTCACTGCCACATGACATGCCCCACAGTTTAAGTAATCTGTGCAATAGATAACCATGAAAAACATTAAGAGACTCATTCAAAAGGACCACAAAATACTCAGAGTTCAACAGCCCTAATACTCAAAGCAAAGCAGAATGAAAATCATTTGGTACTAGAGCATGAACAACATATACCCAGGATAAAATAGAAAACATGCACGATTGCAAAAAAAGAAAAAAAGATCATTATATATTTTTATTTTTATTTTATTTTTTTATTATTATATATATATATATTTTTTTTTTTAATATGTATTATTGTAATATTTCACAATATTACTGTTTTACTGTACTTTTGATTAAATAAATGCAGCCTTGGTAAGTGTAAAAGACCATTAAAAAAATATTAATAAAAAAAGATAATTAGGGGTTTTAATCAATCAGGATTTCCCACACCTTCTTACCAATTCATTTCCATGATATCCCCACGCTCTCATGATTACTGGATAAGGATTTTTACAGATTGCACAAAGGAAATTCATAGTCAAAATAATTTAGAGACTAGCATTACATTTTTTTTAATTACTACTCTTTTAATTCTATGACTTATCCAGACCTGGAAAAAATGATGCCCACCAGAACTCTGTTTAAATGTACTGTGTTGATATGTCTGGATTCAATGTTTGGAAACAATTGAAAACACACTGATAACTGGTTTGCTTAGGTTCAACAGCAAATCAACTACAATAAAAATGATGGATGCACCGCGGTAATGTTTGACAGAGCATTGCCACGTGGTTTCTATTGGATTCTGTGTGGTTAGAAGTCAAAAGTCTCCGCAGGTGTGAGAACACATAATAACGTAAGCCCCTTCAAAATACAAACTGAAGATGTCCACTGAAGACAAACTGCAGGCCATGACCAAATGAAAAGCAAGTCACATGGTTCGATTTGAGGTTTTTAAGATTGCCATATGCAAATCATCATCTGAGGGCTACATTTACAGGGAACCGGCTGCCTCCAGCTGAGAAGTGTGTATTATGCATGACATGTTGTGCATGAAACCCAGCAGCTTCAAAACACATGTTTAGGACAACCTTTGCTTGAATAACAACATACTGCGTTCTTTCTAACCCAAGAAGCCTGTGGCGAATACATCAATTCTGTTTGGTGTAGATTTTGCGCAAGTATAAAAAGGCGTTTTATATAAGGCGTCTTCATATAAACAGGAAGGAGGATATAGATGGCTAGAGCTGCAGGCATATGATGGGTGGTGTGAATATCATTAAAGTCCTAATGTCACACTGCAAGTACTGTTTTAATGCACCACAGCTGCCTGAAATTATTAGTGTATGTCTAACTGCTGAAAGATAAAAAAGAAAAGAAGTATTTACACCGTGACTCTGAGCAGAACCAGACAGAGCCCGGCTTTTATTTACCCATGGAGTTGTATTTACACATGTTCTGATCTGTGGCACTATTAACAGTCCAAACAAACGACCAAGTGAAATAATGTACATCCCTAAACTATAAACATCACACTAAACACGGAGTAATTCTGAATATAAGCCTTGCCACATCCATTCTTTTTACTGGTGATGTGCATTAAAAACCATTTAGTCTACAACTTTTAAACAGAATCTAACTTTTACGTTTAATCTAGAAATACAAATACATAATTTAGTAACACATTTCCCCCCAAACTTGCATTAATTCAGTCGATCAATATGTAACAAGTACAACATGATTCCAAACAGGTTTGCTTATTCAAGACTGAAACGAATTAAAACTGGAAACCAAGAGCATAGAGTTCAAGCACAAGCTGCTTATATAAACTTTAATTTCTAACAACTATATTGGCACTATTTGCACTTTATAACAGTAACTTAATGGAGCTAAGTTAGGTCTGTAAATCAACATTTAACAGATGCATTAAAGAGAAATGCTTAAACTCCACTTGACAAGACGATCAAATAGTTGAAAAAAAACATTAAATGCAGATGTAAATTATTAAAAATATTCATATCACAGTCAAATAATCTAATGTATAGTCTGACATCTATATCTTAATGCAAATTAAGCTGTCAAGCTCAATTCCCAAGCTAACTTTTTGACAGTAAACCCAACATCAAATGACGACTACAATGCACTGACTTTTGCAAAGTTAAATATGTGATACGCATCATAATTAATAAATGCGAACTTGAAAAGTTTAAAATGAAAACAAAACCATTAGCGATACGGCTAACGCTAGATGCTAGCAGCGCGAGAGATGTGAAATACAAAATAACTGTGCTTTATATTATGACAGATATTAGATAGAAAATTTATTTTCCTGGAAAAAAATATTGTTGTTTTTGTGCTTATTCAAGCGGTTAACTGAGTCCTCACTGACCTGCGGCTCTTATCGGAGGCCTTCCAGACAGCCGCTCAAACTGATTGAGTCTGTCCGGGCTGTGTGCTCCTTCTGCGGCAGACATCGCTCCAAAAATCACGCTGAAATCATCCACCTACACGCACTCGCAGACAACGGGATTTCCTTCAACAGACAGAGGTATATCGTAGAGCATAACTCAGCCCATTCTCCCCCGAAAGAGACGCTTAAATTAAATAGATGGACCTGACCGGGTCTCCTTTGCAATGAATGTGAAGGCAGAAACGCTGGTGAATTAAACACATTCAAGATGGCCACCAAAAAAAAGACATATTTGGACGTTTTTTTAGGCATTTCAAGATAAAAGTCTTCACGATAAACGTCAAACTTTAAAATCATGAAGCCATGAAAAAAAATGTTGGGTGTTTTGAGTTGTACAATTTTGGTACATTTGAATTAAATACTTCAAGCTGACCCAAAATGTCTAATACTACGAAAATGCTGCAGTTTGTCGTGTAAACCCTGCTGCAAGTAAATTTATGTTATATATATATATATATATATATATATATATATATATATATATATATATATATATATATATATATATATATATATATATATATATGGGGTATGGGCTGAGTTATGCTATACATATACATATATTTTTTTTCAAAATCACCATGAAATCAAAATGTGCATTTTTTCTTTTTTATGGATATAACTGTATTTATTATAAATGATTTTTCAGTGCACATCATTATTTTATCAAATTCAAATTCATGTGCACACTTTAAAAGGTTACTTCAAGGGATTGTATCGTCATCATCAATTAGTCAAACAAAATCTCATGTCAAATGTCATACATTACTTTCAAAATTAATAGTTTTTTTTTATATCTCTATAATATAATTAATACATTCTAATTGTCCTAAATGTACCTGCAAAATTATTTTGCATATTGAGGGCAGCTTATATATATTTTGGGGCACTTAAGAGATGTATAATCTTTTTACAACAAACACTGCAATTTAAGTTTTCACCCTACAAAATCTATTGCGTCAAACGCCAAAATGAGACATCATATGATAATATGTTTGTTCCCAACTCAACTCAAGGCCATCAGACTGCAGTTTGAATAATCTAAAAGGATCTCACAATGAGTTGGACTGTCTACAGAAAAACAAATGTCTCTTACATTAATATGTTCTGCACAAACTATCTGAGTGTGTCAAATGTGTGTTATCCATAGACTGTAAAAAAAATAGGTGTTATCGCAGCTTTTTCAGTCTATGAATCACACTAAAGAAGCATCAATTCATAATTCAATCCCCCGTTTTACAAGCTGTATTATGTGGATAAATCTTTTTTTTTATTTTTATGTATTTGTCTCTGATTAACAAGATGTTAATGAGAAGAACAGTATTTGATCATACATTTGGTGAATACAACAAGCCTGGTCATTACTACAATTAAATTATTATAATTTGTTGTTAACGTCTGTCATCAAAATAAGAAATTTAGCAAAATGACAGAAAGTTTCTTAAATGGTTACCACGCTATACTTTTGTAATGGATGGGGCGGAACTGTGTAAAAATGTTGATAATTGAAATCTTGTAGTGGGAGTGTTTAGAGACAGACACCGAACATGGCGGCGCTCGGCAGCCGTGCAAATCGCCCAGAAAACGGCGAAAAACAAAGCAAATCTCCTCTCGTGTCTCCCCTGAAAGTGCGAGAACTTCTAAATGAAGGCGTAGCCTCGGAAGACAACGTGTTTAATTGGTAAGAGTTTCATTATAATGAGAGAGAAGTTACAAAAAAGTGAGAATGTGCGGGATTCGGGAAGAAAGCAGGGCAGGGGTGGTGAGCAATTCGACAATCGGATAAGTTTTTACTGAAAACCCTGATGGAACATTTACCTTAAACCGGTAGCTGTGTTTTTGAACATAGTAGATGGTACCAAATGGACTTTGACTGATGCAAACTTCTTGACCATCTCGGCAAAATCAACAAACTAGCTAAAGACCACCAGCTTAGATTAGAAACAACCCACGTTACCCGACTCCCTGTCAACCTGTAGCTAGTTTTTAACTAGTAATTTGCTGATGCAGGCTTTTCTTAGACCAGCAACAAACCAGCTACCAGCTGGTCAAACTGTTGTTTTTTTATAAGCATGACAGCTGGTCTTGGTATACCACCTTGTTCCAAATCACATCTTAAGATGTTATGCTTTTTTCCACTGTATGGAGTAAGTCACTTGGGTTTTACTTATGTGTGGAAAATACAGCACTAGGTTGATTCACTTTTCTCTCCATGTCTCAGTTCGCAGCAGGATACAAGCACACTGTCTCCAAATGGTCTTGGGAAAGCTCCTTGTGAGGCAGCAAACAAAGAAGCATTTTTCAACAGAGTAGAATCCTACTCCATATCCTTTTGAGTGTCGCTGTGAAACCATCAGGGTCAGTGCCTGAAGCTGGATTTGAGAAAGCAACAGGCAGTTTGTGTTGCATATTTAATTGCATGTCTGTTTTAGACTAATCAACTCAGTTGTTGAACTTTTCATTAATCACTGATTGATTTCAAGATGTTGTATGTATTACATGTCTAGTTGTTTGATTAATTTGAATGACTTAGTCTTTAAAACATGACAGACTTAGTCACCATGAAATCAGAATTGACCGTTCTTATTTTTCTTTTATGGAATATTGCAGTTTATTAATAATGTCCATTGTCCTGTCCTCTATATGAAAATATGAAAAAAAAATCACAACTTTGGTTTCATTCATTGCCTTTGCAAAAAGAAGAAAAGTCCTTAACATAAGCACTGTCTGAAATGGGCCGGAAAGCCCCGTGTGCTCTCGCCGCTGAGATGTGCACGGTACGGCTGGATCAATGTAGACTGTGATATGTTAAGGTGTTCTAGTTGCCAGGCTTTTCTCTGTGCATCAATCCAAGCAACCTTGGACTTCCAGAAATGTAAGTTTTGCTCTGTTTTTATTATAAAGCGAAGCTATATTTTGTATCTGCACACATTAACTTATTTATTTTCACTTTTTTTAGATGAAGGACGGATTTCGGAGTTGCTACAGCAGCTTCAAACGCAACATGAGAAATTTTGTTCCTGGCCAGATTTTCCATGTCCAGGTATTTTGAGAGGCTCACTAGTCGTCTGTCTGTTTGACATCTAAATCAATCATTGCTAATCAATAATGTTGTTTGTGTTGCAGATCGTTTCTGGATGGTTCCTATTAATGAGCCTACGATATTACTCGGTGCCTTTGTAGACCGTTTCAAGAGTGCTTGCCTTCTAGAACAGCAGCTGCCTGCTATGAAGCCAGAGCAGCTCAAAGCCATGGTATTATTCTTTATTTTTAAGTCCATGAAGGATTCTTCTATGCATTCATAATTTTGGATGTTCTTTTTCCTCAGACCTTAACTGAAGATGTTATAAGTGTCCTCCTTCAGCTGATTGAAGATGAGCAAGTGAAGCAAGGTGGTTCTCCCTCTAAAGTCTCATCAGATCTACTCTCTGTACAGGTGGCAGCATGCATCATAGCCCTCTGTGGTTGGGCAGCCAGGTAAAAATCCAATCAGTGACTTTTGATGATTCAGCAATGGCAAACGATTCAGGTTGTGTGTCATTTTATGCCTTGTTTCCATTTAGCCCGTCACTACACATTATGAATCTGCCCACCCTCACTTGTTCGTACTGCATGAGAAAGGTAGGGATGTGGAACTTCTATCAAATGGAGACTGTTTCAGAGGGTGAAAACCCTCCGCAGTCTCCAACATCTACTACTGCCTCGACTCCAACTCAAGGCACAAGTGGGGAAAGGGGTACGCCCACCTCACCATCCCAATCCCCCACTCCATGTCGCATGAAGCTGCGTAGTCAAGACTCCACACGCTCTGAGCAGGTGAGTCTTTTGCATTTTGACATTAGTTTTTAAGTTAAACTTTCCTTATAAACTTAACTGGGAATGACCATTATATTACTTTGATGTTCTTCAGTGAGTCACAACCATCTAAATTGTCAACACTGTCTTGTGCATATAGATGGACACTACATCATCCCCACTGGTTCTTCGCACCAGAAGCAGAGACTCCCCTATCCCACATGATGAGCTTCCAAGCCCCCTGTCCAGGGGCAAGAGACCAATGACCCGCAGCAGGGGTCAAGGAGAAAACCTGGCCATGGATGTGCCCTCTAGTCCACAGCGAAAGACAAAACGCCTGCGTCTCTCATCTGCCAGTGGCTCTGTAAGGACTATTATTATGTATAAATTGCTGTTATTATTATTATAGGACAATGTTACATACATTTTATTTATCTGCATAACCTGATGTCCTAATGGCATATTTGTTTTTAATGACCCTACAAGTTCAATTAAACCATCACGTTTTCAAATTTTAGCCTGTTTTGTTTTATCTGTTATAGGAAGGGCCCATGCACAGAAATGTGTTTGACCCAGTAGCCCAGCACCGAGACTGGTGTCCTTGGGTGAGTGTGGGAAGAGAGGAGGGCAATCTAGACGGGTCTGTCTTTGTTGGCTGTGAGTCAGAACTCCCTCAACCAGGCTGGAAAGCAGCGCTCACCCTGTTCTTATCCATGAAAAGAAGCCTCAGTCCAGTAGGAGCCAGCCCATCTCAGGTGAGCCAAATATTACCAACTACTATTTTGTTGAAGCTAACAATCAGTTTTCATCTCTCTAACACTGTTTTTTTTTTTTTTCTTCTTTCATTTAGGGTCCTCATGACAAATCAAAAAGGGTGTTCTCGATATTCCGACAGTGGCAGGTATCTTCCCCAAGCCAGTAAGTTGCACTTTGGAAAGTGGACTGGGAAACCCTGGTGACGTTATTCTAGTGGTACGCTGTCCTTTGTAATAATGACAGTACTTTCATATCAGATTGTTTCTTGATAATGTGAGTCTTGTTTACAGTATTGGGTTTGGTTGGGAAAGGGACAGTAAATCCACACGGATCAAAGCAGCCTGTGCTGAAAGACCTTGCCTTGGAACAGGAAAGCCCAGCAGAGTTCTTCTCAGAAATTGTAACTTTAACACACTGTTTTGAATCTGGGCCTGTCCAGTCTACATTCAAACATCAACAGACCAGTGGCCAGCGCAATTTACCTTGCATGGACTGCCGAATAGTCCTCGCCACCTCAGGCTTTAGGGTTTTAGCCTAATTTAGGGAAGCTTTAGTGACGCTCCTAGACCTACACTGGAAGACATGCTAGTTGTATCATTGCTGGACGTTGTTCAGATTATAGATCAGCCAAGGATTTTTCTGCATTGTTTAAGTAGGTATATGATATTTACTTCCATAAATGTGAATGGACTGAATCTCATTTTTAAAGATGTTTATCCTTTATCTTTTACCCACATGCCAGCTAAAATAGATGCCATATTTAGAAAAGAGTGCCAATGTAAATGGTTTTGTTTTTGGATCACTTTCTCTGTAAGTGCTGCCTGTAGTGCCCTTCATCATGCATGCAATTCTTGGCATCTCTGCCTAATCTAAATAAACATATTCCTTTTGCTGGTTTTCACTATGTATGGTTTTTTCATTGTGTTGTCTTAAAGGGATACTCCACTTTTTTAAAACCTTTGACTCCTATGGCTTTTACATGCTTGTAAAATGCAATATTATGTCCCTTTAAAAAGAATGGGGGAAATGTCTTTTCATTTTTGTTTACTATCAATATTGAGCATTAAAAATTTAACTGTTAAAGGACAAATGTATGTGCATAAAAGAAATAAGTTCGGTAGCACACAACAGTTATTATAACAAAGAGGACCGTGCCCCAACTGTCATCGCGGACTAAAAAACTACAATTTTACAGATGTACTACAAATTTGAATGGTCCACTCTTTATGACAGCCCGAAACACCGCATCGAAAGAGGAATGAGGGGTACACCTTTCGTCGCGCAGACATGACGTCATAGGCGGAGGGATAGATAGATAGATGTGAGTGAGAGCTGTGCGGGCAGAGGACTACCAGTGCTATCCGCTGCGGACAGAAAGTGGAGGGCGAAAAAAAAACTCTCGAAACGACAGCTTGCCGTGTGCCAATGTGCAAAAATATACAGTTTCGGTAGAGGCCAAGGGATCGGGAATCAGTCGCAGAAGATTTGAGCTTCGGTCATCTGAAAGAGGAGTGTATAAAGATGTCGTCTCCAAGTCCGGGCAAAAGACGAATGGACACCGACGTGGTGAAACTGTATCCTTTAAAATATAAACAACAGAATTACTGTAAAGCTACAGCCGTCAAATGCCTAAAATATTCACGAAAACAGCCCGAAAACGCTTTTCTTGTTGTTTTTAAACCATTCGGGGCGGGCGTCTGGTCTGAAAAACAGTTGTCAAAGCCAGTATAATGGTTTATTGGATGGTGATCAGCTTTTGACAACAAAAGTGTTTTGATGGTTGTCAGTGCGGCCAGCAACAAAGCCAATATTTCTAGACGTTAATTTCTCAAATAACATAACTCAACCTAGAAAGCAGATTTTTCTCGACGGGATTTGTTCGTTGTCAGTGTTCAAAGGCAGAAATGTTGAGGATTATTTATAGCAGATATGTTGCTCTGTGTCCTTTGAGTGTTTTGTCATCGCTTTTCTCTTCAAATCCACACCAACGCTTGACATCCACAGGATTTAAACACATATTTTTATAGATACGAATCGTATATCTATATTGATATGATATCTGACAAAGTCAGACGTGTTTTTGTGCAAAATAGTGAACGTTACTATACATTTGGCCTGCTAGCGAGCTAGCACAACCTCACAAGCCAGTTATTTATTTATTTGTCGATTGTTTTTGTTGCAGTTTTATAATCAGAATAGACATTTGTAGGCCTTCCAAGAGCTTTTAGCACGGATTTATTTGTATTACACGAAAACAATGCGATCTTTATGCACAAATTGTTGACTTAAATATAGACGCTTTAAAATGTTTTTTAAATAATAACATCAGAAATGACATAAACTTCTAATTCAGCGTTATTTTATAATCCTGTCTGAATGTGTTTTTCTCTTTCGTGGAGGATCCATCTTGTTTTTCTGGCTTTTGTTAAGGTCGAATGTTCTCGTTTTAGGGGTTAAATGTTTTGACAGGAAATTTAGCCTCTATTTACCATCTTTCTTTTTATGATTTTAAAGTTGTTGCTACAGTGCTTGGGTGCGGATGTTTGTCTTTGTCTCTAGTCCATAAGAATCCCTTTAGTTTATGGTGTGATTGACACAGCAAAAGTTTCGTAGAGTTGTTTTTCGTCTTTTGCTCAAGAGTTCCATGGCTATTATGTGTGCTACCATGCCTTTATTCGTAATGTGGTTTGGCTGTGCTGTCAGTGTGTTTTGTTGAGTGTTTTTGTCTATCTAAGCATCTAGAACACGCAGTTCTGTTGGTTTTGGAAACGTTGGGTTGATCATTTATGAAGTGCAGTTATGTCAAGCCGTTTGAAACAAAAGAAACCCGCATAGATTTGTTTGTTTTAAAGATCAGGAAAGTTTCCATGCTTCTGACTGTCCTTGCGATCTGTTTAGTTTGTGCCGTTTAATTTCTGTCTTGTGTAGGATTATGACGTATGTACATTAAAAGTAAATTATGCAACACTCTTTGGGACAGTGTAAACTTCTGTAAGGCTCTGGGAATGTCTCGTTATGTTTTTGTCTCGAGCAGTAGGAACTAGCCTTATGATTGGCCACTCTGTTACTACCCGGAAACTGCAAGTAGGTGGGATTAAACAGTGAGTTGAGTGACAGTGTTTCCTAGTTAAAGCTCAAGTGTGTAATTTTTTTCAAATTACTTTCTTCTCTCCCAATATAATATGCAGATATATTTATTTGTTATCTTTTATTAGGTTACTTTCTCTTGTGTGTTTAAGTGGCCCCACACACACAACATTAGTTCAACCAACAGAGTTCAACAGTCAGGTTCCGAAAGAAAAAAATCCCATTCATTTTCTCCATGATAGTGGAATTGATTTTTAATGATACTTATAAACCTTTAAAGACTGACCTATTGTGAACTACAATTTTGTTAATGGTGTATGCTTTTGTTGAAGCCACCAGTTTAGTTTATTTCAACTTTTTAAATAAATAATTGTTTAAAAGCTTAATTTTTGGTGAAAAACTACATTGGCCATAATTTTGCATAGAAATCTCCTACAATCAGGTAATCAAAACAAGCAAATTATGCCTAAAGAACCGCCCACTCCCACGAAGAACTGTGAATTTATAGTTTGATTTTATATTTATATATAGATTGGGACATGAAAAATATAGTTTTTATGTTGGTTGTCTGTTGTAATAGTTCTTGGGATTGTGGTTCTTTTACTCATTTAAGGTGTTAAGCATGTAGTCTTTGTCTTTTTGATTGTTTTTTAAAATTCTTTTTTGATTCAGATCAAAGTTTGTAATGTGATTCACCTCGTATGCTGGTTGGTTCGTTTCATGGCTTATATCTCTCAAATGAAGATTTAAAATAAAAAATCCCAATGGGAAAAATACTTTCGGAAACAAGGCTGCTGAAAAAGTGGATGGGCACTGTTGCACTCCATGGCATGAGTTTGGGGGCGGGGCCATCTGTTTATCAACCAGTAGCAGACAATGGTTTCGGAAACCTGTTTGCTGTTGTTATCTAGCGGTGCAGAAAATTCACACTTCAGGGGTCACGGGTGGAGGACTGCAGGTTAAAGGTGAATGGACTTAATTACAGAAAACAGCTGATGGCAGGGGCAACTTTTTTTAGCCTTTCAAGCAGGTGACAAGTGTGACCTAAAAGTTTCCTTTAAAGAAATTAAAAGAAGAGATAAATACAGTAATGATGTAATTTACCTTCCGTTATTATTTTGGTCAGCTGGATCCCACAAACCTTTCACTAGGAAAACATGACCACAGTAATTGTCCAGAATGTCTGGAAAAATTAACAGTAACTTTATTGTTTAGCGTTAGTTTGGCCTAATTGGTGAAGGGTGTGTATTTATTTATTTATCTGCTTATTAAGTTAGCATAGGAGACGATAATAAGTAGGCCATCCATAGGCTGTTGTGCATTATCCAAACATTTATTTTCTTAGTGGATTCCGACACAACATTGGCTCAACCAATGGTGTAAATGCCCGTTCACACCAAGAACGATAACAATAAAGATAACTAACGATAACTATATTAGCGACGCGTACACACCAGCGGCCGATATCGTTCTGTGTGTTCTATATGCACGCTTCAGTTTTGTCATCTGCCGCTTTAATTGTTCGAGCTCTTTAAAGCAGGATGAATTCTGATTGGCTGTCAATGTTTTTATCTTTATCGTTTCTCTGTATCGTTATCTTTATAGTTGTGGTATGAACTCTGCAATTCTTTTATATTTAGAAAGATTTTTAGAACTATATCTTAATCGTTATTAGGGCTGCTCCCTAATAGTCGACTAATCGTTAGTCGACTAGAAGAGGCTTAGTCGACCAAAAATGTTATTAGTCGGTTAATCAAAGAAAAAAAAACTTGTGGTGAGCTCACGCAGTCCGTGGATAGATCGTTAATGGCGGGTCCTTGTGATAATTACACTATGTTGGGCAGGAAATCCAAACGTTTGCATATCATCCATCGACCTGCTGCGGAGATTACGAGTCCGCATCGTCAACTTCATCACTGTGTGTGAATGGGCCTTAAGTTTGTGGCTGACCAATGGCAGGTGAGGGGAGTGTTTGAGGGGAGGAGCCAATTTTGGTGACTTTTGGCTCAGAAATGACATAATTGAGCTTAATCATGTGGGGATCTGGACGGGATCTGTGCATGGGATTTGGGACAGCTCTAAAACAATATGGTGGGTGGACTGTCTCAAATTGTTGTCATTGCAAAACACATGCAAAGACGCCCACCCTCCCCCAAAATACACACTGACAGCCATGAGAAAACACAACTTAAATACCCTGTTCCCTTAAGGGGAAACCGACAGACAAGTGACAACTAGGAACAGGTTTCCAGAGTGCCTCCTGTTGCTTGGGACAAGTGTTTGATGAGTTTTCCATGCATAACTATTGTTTTCCGCAGTATCTTTCTGACATAACCTGAAATGCACGCTACCTTATGAAAGGCAAGCAGCAGGGCCGTTTAAAGAGAGTTGTTATGATCTGACTCCACGATTCACGCTCGGTAATTTGCTACAGGCACCAGAGAGCTGTGGATCTGGAGCACGCTCAACTGGGAATTCACAAAATGAATGTCAGAATGACCTCGCCGTGCAGAGCTGCCTTAAGCACTTCCTAAGCTTGAGAGAGAGAGATGATGACCCGTCTTTGACATCACCAGATACTTCTGAAACATGCTCGAACAGGTCAGACCTGGCTGTTGGCTTTGACTGGGCAGCATGCAATAGCATAATGTCAATATGTTGTGTAACATCTGTTGCACTTCTCATTTAGCCTATCGTCTGTTCACTGAGGGATGTAGATTTTTTGAATATATTAATCTGGAACTCAAAGACCTCCTGATTTAATCAGTGTGGACTGAGCTCTAGTGGTTCTATCTTTTTTTCTCACATTACCAAACCACGTCTTGATCTAATTAGCTGGACCAACTGTAAACGAAATGCTCGTTTCATACTGATTTCTTTGCCTTTGAAATGCATCAATAGTTAGCAAGGTCAGTTTACCTAGTGAGTCTAATGATTTGTCATTATGAAATCTTCAGCAATAAGTCATCTATATGTCACTGGACAAGTATTCACATTTTTCATTTTGACCTACATATATTAGATTCAATTGTCAATTGAAAAGTCAATTGAATTTTTTTGCTCTTGAAATTTGGCCTTGCTTTAAAAAATAAGTGATAAAACATCACTAAACTATTCCACACCATTTATGCTTCGAACATAATTTATCTTGTGAAATATGACTTCTACCTGATGAATGACACCCCCCCCCCCCCCCCCCCCCCTTTACACATGTAAGATTACGTTTACATGTGCAATTATAACACACTTTTTTTAGACTTGGAACTGGGCTGTTTGGATGTTTGCACAGATGAGCAACTTGTCTTCAGGGAATGTAGTTTTTAATAACTTTTTTGTAAAGTTTCAGTGTTTTGTCATTGCTGTCTCCATATCCGAACCAGCCATTATATGATAAAATTCTCTTTTATGTTCATTTTGTCCCAGCCAGTCACAAGATATAGCGTCATGCAGAGTAGTCCTGCACACAGTATAATCGTCCCGAAGTCCC